TTTAGGACCATCGTCCTCAAAATAGCCCTGCACCTAGATATAAGCAATGAGGGTGCTCAGAGTGCGATGTAGATGGGGCAATATTCGCTATGATGCTGTTTTTTTTGTGAGTCTTGCAAGGGTTGCCTTGTCAACATCAGTCCTCAACACCAAACCATTTCAAGTCTTCACGAGTCAAGACACCAAGCGTTTGTCTCCAACACTGGGACTCAGTTCCATCATACTATGAAAGAAGCCAAGTTCCTGTCAACATGCAAACTGGGGCTGTGGATCGTGCCTGAAGCACAAGCCACAAGCAATTACAAGCACAGACTAGCACGATCATATACAGTAACATGTCATCACATGGTACCACCTACTATAGCATCAAGAAAACATAATGAACAGAAAAACGGCTGCAAACCAGTGGATTGCTGAATCTGTGGCTGTCTTTTTTGGGCTACAGGGATTTGCAATGATTACACTACAGCGAGCCCAAAGCCTTGTCAGCAATAAACCCCATGAGACTCAGGCTTTAGAGATTCAACCCTAAACCCTAAACCCTAAATCCTAAACCCTAAACTTCCGCAAGCCAGGACGCAAAAAGCACGAAATGGGGCGCCGTCAAAAAGGAAGACTTGCGGTTTAGGGTTCAGGGGTTTAGGGGTTTAGGGTCAAGGGTTTTGGGTTGAGGGGTTTAGGGTTGAGGGCTTTAAAGGAATGCTACCGGACCCGGGATTATGGCTAAGGATTAGGTTCGAAGAAAGCACCTAACATGGAGGCCGAAACAACAACTAACATCATTTTCCAGGGTTTCCCGATCTAGTTCTACTATAATATACCACAAAACCCTGTTCTAATCTTTTCGGCCCAGGATTAGGTCCTAATCCTGAACCCTAAACGAGGCAGCCGGAAAAGGGCAGTCGCGGTTACAAGCTGCTCGGAGGTTCATGGAACCCGCGGCACAATGCTTGCAGACTTCTCTGAAGCACTGTGTCCGCGAGGTGCTGAAAGGCTCCAAGGCACAGCGCGCTGACAGTACCAGGGACTTGGGCCCCAAGCCCTATATGTATACCCTCATATATAGAATATACTAGACTACGCCATAAATACAACAAGCCCTGGCTCAAACTTGTGAAGGCCCTTATGTCCTGAACTGCACAGCAGATATCGGTGTTAGGGGATGAGGATCTCGAGGCCCTGAAGCAATGTCAATCATTAGCCCAAAATCAACCAGCAGCACAAAGGCCGATGTGACTTATAGACTCCGATAAGAAGAGGTTGGGGGTTCGGAGTTCCGGGATCAGGCGGGTGGAAACCCACAACCTAAACTATCCCAAACCCGAGATGCCCTAAGTCAAACCGCCAGCGCAGCAAGTTTGGATTCATGCTCCTCTACTCGGAGGTTCGTGGGTGGTCATAAAGTTTTACAACTAGGTTTGTAAGTACGATAATACAAGCAACTATAGCCTATATTCGGATAGTCGTAACCCGAGTTATAACTAATTACACACGAAGCTCGAAGTATGGGTCTGGAAATTGCCTTGGGCTTGACGATTTACGACCGATTAAACCCGCATACTGCGACCAGGACTGATTCCCCTGAAACAAAAAACTCAATCGTAAACACTAAACCCCATAAACCCTCAGACTTCCCAAAACCCTAAATCTTAAACTGTAAACACCTAAACCCTGTAAACCTTAGACCCCGCCAATAGTCTCCCTCAAGTCTGGAACCCTTGGTTTCCGTCAGCTGCCCTCGCAGTGGTGTTGTGCCGTTGGTTCCTTTAGCCAGACATGACAGAAAAGATGTGTACACCTTCTGAAGGGCTACCCCAACAACACAGAAAACACAAAATCAACTCAAAGGTGCAAGCGCACAACCTTGAAGCTCAATAAACCCAAAGGGTCCATGTACCCTAATATAGGGAGTACTTTGAAGCCAAAGTATATACTATTTGGGAACATGGACTCAACTACACTACCTCCACAAGCTCCCGTTTACAGGCAGAAGGTGCCCTGCCAGCTTGAAGTTGGACTGCAGACAAGACGGCCCAGTCCTGGAGTGATCTGCAGGGCGCGCAGCTGCAGGCTTGGGAGTGTTGATAAAGCCGTGAAGTGCATGATCAGTGCTTTGTTTAAGGGGTTCAGGGGTAGTGCTCAGGACTCAGCGTTATCGTGTGCTTCACCTGATCTGCTTCTGGCTGAAGTAAGAAAACATCTAGCTAGCACGAGGCCCTACAAAAATACGGCCCATTGCTTCATTCACTTCTAGGCCTACTTCTCGGGTATCATGGGGAACTAAAGGTTAACCCTTTTTGGTGATATAGGGACTATATGGGGACTATACTACCCAAAGAAACGTTAAAGGCTACCTACTCAACGACAGCCAGGCATCTGCAAGTTCCCGGTGCTGGGGATTCCCTCTCACCGACATCAATTGCGCACGATCCTGCCGAGTCCTCCCGGTCTGGCTTGTTCGTCTTAAACTTGTCTGGCGCTTAGTAGGGAACGGGGGAATGGATCCCTTTTGTAGTACCTATATAATCGCCAATAATAGTCTAAATGGTCTCCATAATCCATTCCCGCATTCCCTACTAAGAACCAGACAGAAATCTGCAGACCTCTCTCTCGAGCATGCAGGTGCTTTGTGCAGAAACCCTTGCGCGCTGTGCAAGTCTCGAAAACTTGCCGGTGCAGATTAGGAAGGTCTATGAGGGCAACGTCCGACATTGACTGATGTCCCCAGGTACGGGCCTCAATAAAGGTGCGTGTTGAAGAACTTTATCCGGGAACTAAGGGGCCTTCACAATTAGAAAATGGTTCCTATACAGGGAGTCCTAGCCAGACCATTGGTGTTGGAAGTTGCGGGAGCTTTTTTTGAAACAACAAGCAGCTACTTCGCTGAAACCGCATACTCGCGAACCATGTATGTCTAAAGTTTATATGCTTCAAAACCACTATCCATGTGTACAAAAATACCACGGACACGTCGCTGGGACCTGCTACTCGATGTACACTTCCCACCAGGCTCCCTCGGGCCCGACGAACTTCTAGAAACATGTGCAGTGATACTCCATACGAGGCTAACGCTCGGGGTGGGAACAGCTAGCGATATGTCTCCTAGGCTGCTCTGCTACGCTGTAACGTACAGCGCCGAAAACCCTGTATCGTACTTACCAAGCTACTTTCAAAGACCTTACCACAAATCCTGTAGAGCTCCTTTAGCAACCCTGGAATTTACTTAAAAGCCTAAGGACTTTGCTCCGGCAAGTTCTGTTTTGCGGACTGCCGACAAAACCGATATTCACAGAACCGGCTCTGGTGTTGGGCGCAGAGGCCAAGGGTTTGGGGTTAAATGTGGGAGCCTGATTAAGAAACCTTGGGCCTTTATTCGGGTTCGTGATACGAATCCTACGATTTTGGGGTTACGAGGCAAGAGTTTCTTAATCAGGTTCCTACATGAGGAAGCGTACGGTTTATAAGTAGGGCGTTGGAAACGAAATAATAAAGCGGCCTTAATCATTAGAATAGGGTTTTGTGGCCCATTCTACTGCCTTTTATAATAAGGAAAACCCTAAACCCTAAACCCTATATTACTGCTAATGATTCTTCGGGCCGGGGGTCCGAAGCTAATGAGACTGAGTCGAAGAAGGCAAGGGGATGCTATGGGTTGGGTTTAGGGGTTTAGGGTTTAGGGTTTCTAGTTTATTGTTGGGATAGGATTAACAATGTAGATTTATATTCCTTATTGGTTTCAAGTACCCATAAAAGTGTAAAATGTTATCCAACTATGACAAAGGTTTAGGGAGATATGGAGACATGGCGCACCTTTGCATCCGTCCGTGCCTGTACTTCGGGCAGAGCCCTAGATAAGATCTGATTCGGCAGCGGCACGTGCTGAAAGGCAGTACCTGTATGTTGAAGATAGGAAGAAGGGGGACCGTCGGGCCATTAGGTTACCTACTTTTGTACTTTTGGGGTTCAGATCAGATCGCTTGCAATGCATTCGTACTGTTACATACCATGGACCCCGATGGGTATTGGGGTTTCGAGTGAAAAGTCTCCAAAAGGCAGAGTTCCCCCAACAGTTGCCAGAGCCGGCAATCGGCTTCCGAAGTACACAAGGGTTTCGGCAGGCTGACGTAGCCCAACACCGAATTCGACAAAACTCGCCACCTGCAGGAACATCTCGACTTTCCATGGGCTAGGATGCAGAACAGGCGGCAACATAGTTAGAATTAGAATAGGGTTTCCGGCGCATACAAATTATCTCACCACTCTCAGGAACTGTGAGGGGATACTACAGGTAATATTTGGGCCCCCGTATTATGATGCTTGTTGCAGCTACAAGCTTCGACAACGGCTTTGCGCAGGGACTTGTGAGAGGACCATGCGAATAATTCTTTTCGGAGAGCTTCTAGAAGTCCCAAAGCCGAGATGCAGATGCAAGGTATATATGGCTCTGATGGTCTGCTGCTGAGGTATTTGGTGTACACAGCCCCTCATCAGACAAAGCTGGCGGGCCGCTGGCTTTCCTGAAACTTCGACGCCGAAACTCTTCATCAGAGTCTCCGAGGATCTGGAATCCTGTAACTTGAGGTTTATACCAGGGATCCAAAAAACCCTACCCCCAAGGGTCCAAGTACCAAATAATCATACACTCCCCCAAATCCTAACCTACATAACTACTATCCTAAAACCGAGTACCGTATTGGGTCCTTTGGACCCTGGAGGTACTGCTTCATGGGTTATACCGTCCCTCTAGTTAAGGCATCATCGCCCAGTGTGTTGTAGGGTTCGGTGCTACAGGTAGGGCTTGGGGAGGCACCGTAGACAAGTCGAGGACTGCTTCACTTGAAATGGGAGGACACCGTTTCTTCAGAAACTCCCACATGGCACCTGGCAACATAGGGGCCTTACCAATTAGAATAGGGTTTGGGGGTATCATAAATCCCACCAAACCTTATTCTAATTATTAAGGCCCCTGCATTAGGTGCCGCCATGCCGCATCCCTGGTCTCAGATGTTGCCCCGAAGCCTGTCAACAAACTCTCCAGGCTTTAGGACCTTTGGGGCTTCATCCCTTCCCAGACCCCCAGGAGGATCTCGAAAGGAGATCCCCTAATTTGGGGCCCTATAGCACTAAGGGTAGTTTATAGGAACCCCCATTAAGGGATCTACTTTTTAGATCCTCCCGGAAGTCTGGGTTAGGCGGTTAGGGTTCAGGGAGTGAGCCTCAACGAAGGTAGAACCTGATCCCTGCACCGTAATCGCCGTAATAGCCCTTATAGAACACTTGAAGAAACCTGTAGAAATCTCCAGAAACCCGTATGAAACCCGCTGAACTCTCTATCAAACCCTCTGCAAGCCTGAACGAATCCACAAATCCAGTCGCCAAGTGAGCAACGGAGAGAGAGAAGCGCTTAGGGTTTATCGGGCAACGCACCAGAAAAGCTTTAGAAACAAGGTTCTGCAGAGGCACCGTAAGGTGTGTATAAGGTTCCAGAAGGGTTTCGGATGAAGGTTGAGGATCCGCAACTCCCCAGACCTTCCAAAACCCCTTAATTAAGGAATATACCTTAAATTACAACAGGGTCACTAATATGATTTAAGGTATATAACCCTAAACCCTAAACCCTAAACCCAAACCCTAAACCCTAAACTCTAAATTAAGGGATTTTGGAAGGTCTGGGTCCACTACATCGCAGAAAACCATGAGACCTGGAACCCTCAACTAGACCCTAAGTTGAACAGTAAGGTAAACCCTAAGCCTTAAGTTGAAACCGTAAGCTAAACCCTAAACGCAAGCTAACTCCTAAAAAGTAAACCCTAAACCCTATAAACCTTAAACCCTGCACTAAGCTAATCTGTAAATTGACCAAAAACCTAAACACTAAGCCAATTCCGGAGCCCTACACCCAAAGTTAAACCCTAAACTCCCTAAGCCGTAAGTTCAACCCTGAATCTTAAACCCTAAACTCCCTAAGCCCTACCTAGACCCCCAACTACCCTTTATAGTCGTCCCTAATTACCTCTTAAAGAGAAACACTGGAGCCCTTTACAGGGTACTTGGGGCGTCCTGGTAAACCCTATTCCAGTTATATCCCGGCTCCGAGCACCTGGGAGGAGGGGCCGTCGAGGAAGTGTTGCAAACTCAGCGGCCGGAGATTGGGGGTTTCGAGGCTTCCTTAAAGGGTTCCGTAAGGGTTCCTTTTAGGGTCTAGGGCTTGGGATTTTATAGGGTTTAGGGTTCGGGGTTTCAGGAGTCTAAGGAGTTTAGGGATTAGGGTTCTTGAAGGATCAGGGTTGGCTCCTTAAAAGAGATCTATAAGGGTTCAGAAGGGGGGTTTTTTAAGGATCATGGGACTTAGTAACGTGGGTTGGTATTTGGGGAGCTATACTACCCCAATGAAGGTACGCATATCCATACTTACTTACTACGCCCCATGATCCTCCAAGTGGGGGTTTAGGGTTCAGGGTTTAGGGCTTAACGGGTACAGGTCTTTAATGCGGGAGTTAAAGGCTGCAGGGATGGAAGATGGGCTGGACCAGTCAGAGGCACAAGGCTTGGCCAATGTGACGACTAAACCCTACTTGGAGGATCATGGGACTTAGTAAGTATGGTTATAAGTACCCTAATTGGGATTATAAGTAACTATAAGTATAGCTACCTTAAGAACAACCCTAGTTACTAGATCCCATGATCCTTTCAGTAAGTCATGCAGAGTGAAAGACAAGGACGGTTCTCGGACCTGCTGCAGCGTAGTTCCTCTGCTTGATGCGGGGAGGTCGACGGACCCGATATCCGGCATAGAGGTGGGAGTTGGAAGTGTAAGAGTTACGCTAAGGAATAGTAGCTCCCAAATACGCTATACTCTGAATGGTTTTAATAGCTAAAACCCTTCTATTTGGGTACTTGGACCCTCTGGGTTATGACGGTGGGATACCAAAAAAACATTCTACGGCATGGTGTGAGATCTGTGTCTGCCCGGCTGCCCCAAAAGAAAGGTTTATTCCTTTGCCAACTCATGTAAAACCTTCGTCGGCAAGAGGCCGCCAAAGCCCAGACGTCAAAACAATAAAACCGTACAGCAAAGACCTTGGCCTAACACCCTGAAGCCCACGCGCACAAATCCTAAAAGCACTTAGCCTTGAGCCTCCAACTCGACATGATACTGGTGATGGACAAAATCCTGCGTTACCTTAAGGGCCCTAAACTATGGGAATTATGGTATATTCCTTATTATGGGTAATGAAGGATTTATATCATCAACCGTACGACTCGAGCCTGCCAGCTCGGGCCCTGAGCACCCAAAGCCCTGCCTTAGAGTGTAGCTACCAAACGGGGCCCCGATACCCTGAATCCGAAACGCTAAAAATCACAAAACCTTATACACCCTACAGACCCGAAAGGATAGAAACCCCTAAAAACCCTGTGAACCCGTGAAGCCCCTAGACTGCAATCCCGAGGCTCTGGCCCTTCAAGGAACCCATGGACTCCTTATCCTACTTGTCGGGTATCATGGGGAACTAAAGGGTAACCTTCTTGGTTATATAGGGATTATATAGGGACTAGGGACTATACTGCCAAAAAAAGGTCAAAGGTTACCTACTCTACTACTAATGTTGATGATAAGAATCCTGCATTACCTCAAGGACCCTAAACTATGCGAATTAATTATGGTATATTCCTTATTCTGGGTAATGCAGGATTTGTATCATCAACCGTAGGTTATAAAGCCCCTAAGAGGACCCCTGTATGGGAGTTTCCGAAAATAGGGGACCCCAATAGAGTACCCTAAATAGTAGGATCCTTATTATAAGGACCCCCCAAAAAAGGTGCCCCTAATTTTCGGAAACTCTAAACCCTAAACCCTTTTTAGAACCCCTACAGATCCCTTTAAGGAACCCTTAAAGGATCCATTTATAGAACCCATAAAGAAAAATGATCCTGAGGCCCTGGCGGCAAGTAGGGAACCTGGAGGACGGGCGGTGCTGTTCTTTGAAATCTAAAGGAACCTGTAAGGGTTCTATAAGGGCTCTTGCAAAGGAAGCTGTAAGGGTTCTATAAGGGCTCTTTAAAAGGGATCTATCAGGGTTCTATAAGGGCTCTTTCAAAGGAATCTACCAGGGTTCTATAAGGGGGGTTTTGGGTCTACTGAGATCTGGGTTTAGGGTTTATGGGTTTGAGATCTGCGTATAGTCTCCAGTGTAGCTCCTTCTGGGGGCTTCCTTCGGGGATCCAAATTATATATTTATTAAACCAAAAACAGGAACTAGAATGGAGACTATAGGTGGGATCTGGGAAAGCGATTGATATGCCTTGACGATAATAAAAGGTCTTTTTGGAAGAGTTCCTCTAAATGGTTCCGTTACCATACGGGTTCCACAGTATGGGGGTAAATGATTAGAACAAGTAGAGTTTTGCTGAAATTGTAAGGAACTCTACGGAATTCGGGAAGCCTGAACAAACAGGCAATTATTGCCTGTTTGTTCAGGCTTCCCGTTCTAAACTACACGAGACGTGTCGTGGTTTAGAATTGAGGACATAGTTAGAGTTAGAGTCCTGTTAGCAACTTCAGCCTTCGGATTTCTGTTTTGGAACGTTCTGGCCTTCGAGATAGAGCAAGATTTGATTCAGGGTTCGGTCGAACGTATGTGCCGGGATGCTCAAACCTGTATCCGCACGAAGGGTTTACATCGGGGTTCACGGATCAAGACTGCGGGTTCAAGGTTCGCGGGCCACAGTGTTCTGACGATTAGCTGAGGAGGGTGGCTGCTACTCTTCGAGCTGCAGCACTGCTGCTATTCCTACTACCACCAACTTCAACTGTTCTTGCCCGCAACTGTTCTTGCCCTTGTTGACATCATTCTCTGCGATGCTGTACGTGCCCATCTGCTGCTAGTTAGTGTCTTACCCGCGCTGCTTCCATCCTGGACAGAACGGTTGTATGAGAATCTTTCTGCAGTACTCCAGCGTCTACAGGTGCTACCACAGCAGCTACTCCTCACCGTGCTCGTGCTGATTCTCGTACTTGCGCGAGGCGACACAGTAGCAGTGACGGTTACCGTATGGTTGTTGCCGATGTGGTTGTGCCGTTGTAGCAGCAGTAGCACCAGCAGCAGAGGAGGAGGAGGAGGAGTGGTAGTGGCAGTAGTAGCAGTAGTACTGGCAGTAGCAGTAGCAGTAGCAGCAGCAGCAGCAGGAGGAGTAGTAGTAGTAGTAGTAGTAGTCGCCATGGCACCTCAACGCCCTTAGGTGCCAAGGAACGCAGAGTCCACCGACTCCCAATGCCGCGGCAGCAGGTTTCCGGGTGGCCAGGGCAGAGAAGTTTTGCCTGCGTAATATAACATCTATACTTTAAGGTCTAGAATTTACTGGTTTAGGGGTTTCTTGGGTTTAGGGTTAGGCTTTAGTATAGCATAGAGTATCATAGTATAGTATGGTATGGTGTAATATCATTCAACTATTACTTGAACACCAACTATTTGTAGATGTCGGTGCGAATTGCGCTTTGCGATTCAGGGCTTAGGCTTAGGCTATGTAACAAGTAGGTAGCATACGAGCTACACTTACTCGTCGCTGTCTTGCAGCTGTCCTACAACTGGGTACTCAAGGCATGCAGAGCATCACAGTCTAAATCTAAGGACTGTTCGTTGACAGCAATCTCGCGAGAGTCGACACCGTCCTTTTCGCCATATGTACATGTAGACAGACAGACAGACAGACAGACAGACATACATACACAGACAGACAGACTGGCAGGCAGGCAGACAGACAGACAGAACCACATGTATACATACATACGTGCACGCATGCATACATACATACATACATATATACCTACGTATCACATACATACGTACATACATACATACATACGTAAGTATCACGTACATGCATGCATACATATACATAGGTACGTACATACATACCACATACATACACATAACAACACACGACAACATCCACGCATACATAAATCCATGCATATACATACATACATACATACGTACTTGTACATGCAGAGTCAATCCTAAACATTCTGCAACGGCCCATCTGCTACTGTTGCCATAACCACATACGTCCCCTACAATCGAGAGATACACCCGATCCTGTCTTTGCGAACCCAGAGAGCCCAATACCCCTTAATTAAGGTATATGGCTTAAATCATAATATGAAGCCCTATATAATTTAAGCCATATTCTTTAATTAAGGGGTATTGGGCTCTCTGGGAAGAGAACGACCAGCCGGCTTAGGGTGTAGAAGCCTCACAACTGTGCACCAACAGTCACCACACCGATCCCTGAAGTCCTTTTCCCAAAGGGTCCAAAGTACTTGTATAGTAGAATGTAGGGTTCCTATATAAGAGAAATACTATTCTGATTTGGGGAAGTATCCCACCAAAACAGTACGTAGGACCCGTTGGGTTTGGCCCACAAAGGTGGAACGCAGTCCACACCGGTCCTAGAAACCTTGGGCATGTAGCAACGAGTCATAATGTAGGAACCTGATTTAGAAACCTTGGGCCTTTGTTAAACTTTATGATTTTACTTTTTTGGGGTTATAGGCCCAGGGTTTCTTAGTCAGGTTCCTACATTACCCTCTCTAGAGAGCGTTGTAGAGCGCTACGCAATCTCAACTGACCCGAGAAAATTCCAAGCTCTGCAACAGTCGCTCTTCGTGTTTGCTTGCCTGCGCGGATGTTTTGGGGTGATGACAAACGCCCGGAGAAGACTTCCGAGTACATCTTACCTCGGAGTGCTCAGCGCTTCGGGTTAAGGGCGCGTTGGGGTGCAATGGCTCAGGGTTTAAGGCTTAGGGCAAGACACGGAAGAATCCAAAAATGGATTGGCTTTGACATGCGTCGAAGGGGTCCTACTTTTCCGAACATGTCATACTCTTCAACCTACCCCCTAATCCCTGAGCCCCAAACCCTAAACTCCTAGACCTTCCTTGAATGCGCAAAACACGGGCTGCGCCGCTAGGAGATCAGAAAATCGAGCTAGGTACATTGGTGTAAGGCTGTATATGAGTTTACGATAACGGTGTCGTAAGGGTACTATAAGGTTCTTATACTGGTTATAAATACAGGAGGTACTCATCAGGTTTACTAGAACTCGTATTCCGGAGATGGGTTGAAAAGTCTATAGCCGTTTAGGGCCACTAGCACCTCAAGCTTCCCCGCACCCGCACAGAACCCTAAGCCCTAAACCTGCACTCCTAAACTCTAAACTGCCCTAAACCCCTCAATCTCTTGTAGGACACCCGAAGAAGAATCCTTAAAGGAACCTCGTAGCGGAACCTAAAACCCCTTTAAAGGAACCCTTATGGAACCCTTAAAGGACCCGTATAGGAGGTTTATAAGGAACCCTTAAAGGAACCCGAAACACTAAGAAAGTCCACAAATCCTTGGCCCGCGGCCGACTCGCTCCTGAACGAGATGGGGGATTTGGTTAAAGGGTTTAGGGTTTAGGGGCTCAGTGGATTAGGATTAGGGTTTAAGGCTTAGGGTTTGGGGTTTAGGATTTAGGGTTTTGGGTTTAGGGTTTGGGGTTTAGGGTTTGGGGGCTCAGTGGCTTATGGGTTTAGATGTTTGGGGGGCTTGGCTGGCTGTAGGGTTATAGGGTTTAGGGTTTGCCCTCGACAAAGCTCGGTGGTGCTTGTACTTTTGAGCTTTCCGGGGGCCACTTCACTTCGTCGATAAACCGTGCAGTGAGGTGTGCTTTGCGCGGGCATCTCGAATTCACATGCTTATTTATGAGGGCTTTGGAACACACAAAGGTTGGGGTGTAGAGCTGCATGCTTCGCCTGTGGCTAGGGCCTTGGAGTTAATGGATCAACAGGCCTCACGTTCCCGTACCCTTAACGAGTCCATGGCTGTACGTGAAAAGCCAAGGTCCTAAGACGTCAAGCTCTTACACAGCGGTTCAGACGAACCATCATCCGAAACATGGTTCAATTACAGCTAGCGACTCATGTATCCCGACCCCCCGTGAAGAGGGGTCCCAAACTAGATTGATTCACTGTCAGATCCCGCACTCCAACGATCCGTGTTTTCGATGCCCTGATGTGGCGAAGGCTGACAGATCATCCTCAACCAGCCCTAACCCCGAAGAGCCATACACTCTAAACGCAGGGTGGCTGTATTGCTTGTGTGTGTGTGTGTGCGTAGAGATCCTCCTGGTACCTTGGGCCTTGAGATGTGAAGCTTCCGGATATTTGATGGATTCCGCGAGTCCGGAAACTTCTGCAGTTCCAATCCTACAGCACCAAGTTGGAGGCTTAGACCCTTAATTGCTCTTGACAAGATGTGTAAACCTTCTCCATTGTACATTCAAGGTGCCAGGCATGGTTAGCATACCAATTATCAGCCATTTTCGGCCACTCTCCCCTAAACTCCTTAATATATAACCTGGACCCACGAGCCCCTTAACCGCTGCACGTACAGGTATCGTGACTCTGCACTCTAGAACTCCCTCAAGCAAAGCTTCACAGGCACCACGATAGCGTTTGGGGTATATCATAGAACACTTATATTACTCGGGAATAGTATTCGTACTTATTCAAGCTCTTCTGTACCCCCATGATACCGTGGTGGCTGCCTCAAACAGCTCTCGGTGCCCGTCGGCGGCAAGGAAGCTGCTGATGAGAGGCCCGGTGCCCCCCAACATGGCAAGCACCTCGCAAGCAAACAACTCGGAGTTTCCGAAAAGCAGGGGTACCTTTAAAGGGATCCCTTTACGGGTTCCCAAAAGGGATCTACAAGAGTTCTATAAAGGGTTTAGGGTTTAGAGTTTCCGAAAATTAGGGGTACCTTATTTTGGGGTCCTTATACAAAGGATCTACTATGTAGGGTGCTATCTTAGGGTTTAGGGTTTTCGGAAACTCCCAACTCTACACAACAAGAATCAGAAGGAACCTTAGGGGGGCAAGGGAAGGGGCTCCCCTGACCCCTCTAAAGGTCCTTCTGCAAAAGTCTCACAGAAGCAAGAAGCTAAAGAAGGACACTGCCGCTGCCGTCAAGTGCAAGAAGTGATAGCTAAGAGGCGGCGAGTCGAAACGGAGACATGTATGGTAGAAGCCAGACAGTTGGAACATTAGTATGCTCATGCCCCTCAAGTAAAGTATACGGGATCCTAGCACTATTCCTCCTAACCCATGTTCCAACTTTCTGGCTTCTGCTGTAGCTAACACAGGGCGAGGATAATTGTCCATGATTGGTTGAGAGTGAGAGCTCGTCGCTAGACTACAGGGTCTCACTGATCGCACCGTACTGGCCGTCGAACCTTCATAACTTGACTATGTTTAGGGTTTAGGGTTTAGGGTTTTTTGTCTTATAGGGGCGTGTATACAAGGTCTAAGGACAGTAACCTGTTAGATTTGTGCGGCATAGGGTGTTGTGGGGAATCCGTTACAGTAGCTGTCGAGATGTGAGCTTCGCCATAAAACAGCTGCTGCGTTCAGCGACTTGCCACTCGGAGAGGGTTTAGGCCTTGGGGTCAAGGCTCACTGCGATTGTGATGCAATGCACGGTTGGGACCGGTTGGAACCCTTTGCAAACATTTCCATCTCAAAGAGATCACCCGCCCCAAAGTCCCGAAAATTGAAGCATAGAACTGGATATCACGACGAACCCCCCGCCCCCCTTCAACCTTTCTCATGTAACCCTAAACCCGGCAGCATCGAATCCCCTCAAGCGTCGCAAACAAAGACGGGCAGTGAGACATTCCAAGCTTGCAAGGCAAGTCACAGAAGTGACCTTGGTGTCCCACGTCCTTGAGTGACCAGGCTGGGTTTAGAAATTAGTAGTTCGGGGTCCCTGTGCCATCACTTCTGGCATCAGGTATGGTGGCCCTTACCCATGTAATTACTTTTCGGGATAGGACTGTAAACATCAACCCCAAAGAAGGAACTACCATGGAGCCTATGGGTATTGTTGATTATGACCATGTTGACTACTTGTTCTGCTGGACTGTCAATATCATGCCCAGTGCTCTTGCACGCGAACCCATGGTTGCCTTCTTTCAGGGTTCAGGGTTTAGGGATTTAAGGGTTTAAGGGTTTAGGGTTTGAGGCTTCAGGGTTTATAGGGTTTACTCGATTCGGGGGTTAGGGTTTAAGGCCGTTTAGGGTTTAGGCAATGATGGCTGTCGCTGTTCTTGCTGCAGCAGTGTAATTAGACTGCCAGTCTCTCTATCGCTGTCGCGATTGATGCAACCTTTGTCTTACCGTCTTACCGTTCCTGCTACAAGCGCTATCCAAACCCTTAGCCCTTGACTTGGCGTAGCTTTGGGGCAGTTGTGAACTTCACTTACGGCGGTTCTTTAGACGAACCTTGTCACTTGCGAGCCCTTGAACTTCCACCCAGTACACCTCTAGACAATGACCCTGTCGGCGATTCCCGATTTCTCGCTTCAGGAAGTCCGAGCCTTATATACTAGTTTATGTTATGCGTTTAGGGTTTTGGGTCTAGGCTGTTGGGTTTAGGGGTCCAGGGGTTAAGGGGTGGGAGTCATAGCTTTAGGGACGTCTTGGAAGGTTGAGGGTTTCCATGAGTTTCCGGGGTGGCCTGTTTAGGGTTTAGCGGCTTCAGGCTCCGCTGCTTGGCGGCCTATCCGGACTGAAGACCTGAACCCAGAACTTCTTGCGCCAGATGGCTCAGTGAGAGTCAGGAACCCTAAGGCTCAAAATGGCCCAAAAGCCTTATATAGTATGGTCTTTAGGCCCAAAAGCCTTAAAATATGAGTCCTTAGAGCCTTAGGGGAATAGTGTAGAATAGGAGCTTGAGGTTCAGGGCTTCAGAAGTCCAGGATACGACAACTACTGAACTCCCAGCCCCAAAACCTCAAACCAAAAACGCTAAAACCCAAAACCCTTAAACCCCTAAACCCCTAACCCCAAGACCTCAAAACCAGGCAGAGCGCAGAACGGCCGCCACAGCCGTACCATGCACATCGGAAGCTTCTACGCTCCCGGTCTCCTATTCGGGGTTTAGGGTTAAGAGGCATAGGGTTTAGGGTTTAAGGACAAGGGTTGAGGGGTTTAGGGTTTAGGGGTTGAGGGGTCAAGGGTTTAAGGGTTTAGGGGTTAAGGGTTTAAGCCCTTAGCGTTTAAGGGTTTAGGGCTTATGGGTCTAGGTTTCAGGGTTTCAAGGTTAGCGTGCCCGGAAGGTGCTTCAACTTCAATCCCAAACATCAAGCATTAAACTCTTTGCACCAAGATATCATATCAAAGTGCGGCTCCAAGTTTAATTTTGGCGGTTGAAGTACTGATAGTTGAGAGTGTGATGGGGGAAGGTGTCATGATTTGTCGAGCAGCACATAATCAAAATCCCAAGGCACTGAGTCGAGAGAGTTCAATGTATGTTTTGGTATACTAATCGCCAAACCTGGGCCCACTCCCTAAGACATGACAGCCTTGAGAGGCGTGTCGTGAACAGAAGTTTTGGTGGAACTTGGTCGAAACCAGCTTGCAACACATTTCAATCGCAAGCCTTAGCCTACCTAGGCGAAGATGGAAGCAAGAGGTCCAGTTCCTTTGAAGTGGCTTCAGTAGGATACACCGGGTTGTGTCATGTGACCAGATTCCAAACAACAACTTCGGCTTCTGCCTGGTTATGACATTACCACAGTATCATTGTCACCTTTTCTTCACGATTATGACTCTTATGATGATGGTTCACAATATAGAAGTACTAATGCTATGTTTCTTGATGCTTTTTGTATTATGACCGTCGGCTTGATGCTTGGCTTCCGATCTGTCTTTTAGTCCCCTTGTCTTGCTACCTCGCGCCGGGGCATGGCGCACCCCTACATGGAATTTCCGAAAATGGGGGACCCTAATATACCACCCTAAATAGTAGGATCCTTACTATAAGGGCCACAGAATAGGGTACCCCTCATTTTCGGAAATGCCCACATGATCATGGACCCCGACGGAGCTCCTCCGGTCTGAGCCACTCAAATGTCTGAATCCAACACTCCGGCCAATGTTTAGCCTACTTGGGGAACTAAAGGTTAACCTTTTTGGCTATATAGGGATTATATCGGGACTGTACTACTCAAAAAAGGTTAAAGGTTGCCTACTCTACTACTAGGTTAAGGTTTGGGTGCTTCGGGCTGTCCGTCTGCATCTTCGGAAGCGAGAGCATGATGTTGTACCTCAGCACTGACATGCTGTGGAGGCCCGCTAGCACGCATGGAAGAAGCAGGACCACGGCTGTGGACTTGCCGGAGGGTCTCAAGTCTTAAGTGCGAACCTCCCGCGGACAAGTCCTTTTCGACTATTGCCGGCCTTATTTCAGAAACTACGTGGGAGTTCGCTTCATGTCTGCAACAGGGGCATCCCCAAGGGACCCCAAAACTCCGCTACATCCGTTGAATGTTTGGGTGTACTGGAGTGGGTCGAATTCGTCCGCACTTCTTTGACTATCTGTTAAACCCCTGAACTGAGAGCCCCCATCCCGATGCTGTACATGCCACCGCCTATAGGCTCATACCCTACCCCTTTTTAACGTACCTACTTTTCTATATAGGAGATCATAACCATAGAACTAGGTACCCTAAAAAAGGGGTAGGGTATGACCCTCCAGGTGAGCTGTGCCATCGTTTCGTCAAGTCGTGCCGACCCTTCATTCAGCTTCAGCCACAGCCATGACATGCAAAGCTACAGCTGCTCATCTCCACAACTTGGACAGCCGATTACATCTATCCCTATGCCACAAACCCTAAACACCCATACTGACCCCTAAACCCATGACCATGTTAAGCCAAACTCAAACCCACAGTAGACCCTAAACCCCGAACCCACTGCACCCCTCAACCCCGAAACACTGAACCACGGAACTCTTGAATTACGACAAAGCACCCAAACCCTACCTCAGCCCTTAACTCACCAAAGAAGCCCCGAATTATTATCCCTACCATAAGCCACCGTGAACGCAGACAAAGCACCACGCCAGACCAGCAGCTTGGTCCACAAGCATCACCGGATACCTTGGAGTTAGGGTTTGCATGGGTTTTTCTAGTTCAGGGCTTCCAGTGTAAAAGGTTGAGGGGATGAGCGCCAAGCGGTTCCAAGCCTTTCGCGTGTCGGGGGGGGGGGGCACGGGTTTGAGGTCGTCGTTTCTAGTTTATTGTTGGGATAGGATTAACAATGTACATTTATATTCCTTATTGGTTTCAAGTACCCATAAAGATGTAAAATGTTATCCTACTATGACAAAGAGACCTCAGGCCCCAAACCCATAGCCCACAAACCCTGTACAGAGGATACCCAGTAACCTAAGAATAAAAAGGCCTCTCTTTTTGGTATTGGGTAACTTTATAAGGAACCTAGGACTACAAAAAGGGAATAAGGGTACTACTGGGCATCCTAGGTGTTTTGGGAGGGTGCACGCACTCCCGTCCAACCTGCTGGGGTGCGAGGAGTGCTTTTGGATTTCGGGGCCCCTTGGGTTACCCTAGGGATCTAAGGACTCATACATTAAGGCTTTTGGGCCCAAAGACCATACTATATAAGGCTTTGGGGCTATTTTGATCCCTGGGGTTAAGCATTGAACCATAAACCAAGCTTATCTCCGCACAGTTAATTTATAAACGGTCGCTGACATTTTGCGAGGTCTCGTATGCCTAACCTTACTCAGAGGGCCCGACAAGTGAGTTTTTCTCAGTTGGGGCGCAGAGCAGTTGATATTTTTAATATACCAAGACGTACTTTTTGCAGGATCCCTACACAATACTATAACAAGCTGAAGAGTACGAACATACAAAAACAAATGAGGGTATGGTAGATTTCTGTCTGTATGGTTACTGGGTATTTGGGCCCTATGGGCTGCTCTACAAAGATCCACAGCACTTGAAATGAAAGAGGCCGTGTTCGGATGGCCAATTCGTGGTTACCCTAACGATAACGGCTCTCGCACAGGGCATCCAGCAAAGGTTCCACGATTCGGAGTCTAAATAAATACTGAAATCGAAACTCTCTCCAACAAGTGATTCACCGGGAATGGGCGACGCAAGTTTGTGAAAGACAGTGCGAAGCCAATGACACCGGCGCAAATCAAACTCCAAGGGTCCGTCACTCAAAACGGTGTGGCGAAGCCTAAACGCCTACGCCTCCCTAGACTAGCTTGCTTTGAATGGCAGCATTGGATTGGATGCAGCAAAGGTGCGCGCCGTAAGGAGTGACGCTCCTGAGTGAAATTGTCAGAGTGAGGCATTAGGGTTTGGAGTTTAATGTCATGGCCAACTGAGTACCATGAGAATGGGGTTGTGTGGCACATTATAGAAGAACTATACGATAATCAGGAACGCTATAAGGTACAATGCTACTACGAATTTTTGAATATCCGAACCTAATCCCTAAACCCTAAGCCTAAGCCCTAAACCCTAAATTCCTGTGTTAGGGTCTTTTTCTCGTAGCCAGTTCAGGGTCATCTTGGCACACTCCGAAGCTCAGCATGGGTTGCTCAACCACCAGGCTGTGGATACAACCTAATGTGATGAACATACTGTTGATGGACAAAATCACCCATTATAAGGAATATGGGTACCTTTAAGGGGTTCCTTTAAAGGATCTATAGGGGTTTAAGGGTTTAGGGTTTAGGGATATAAATCCTGCATCACCCATTATATGGAATATACCATAGTTCCCATAGTTTAGAGTCCTTAGGTCATGCAGGATTTTGTCCATCAGCAGTATGATCATAAACCTAACGACCTGTGAACCCCTCAACCCTGAACCTCAAACCGCGAAACCCCTATGTAAACCCTATGCAATCCAAGCCGGTGAAACCTAAATTACAAGTCCTTATACCCAGGACCTATACCCTAAACCCTAAACCCTAAACCTTAAACCGTGTCAAACCCTCCAAAGTTGATTATCCACCGCTCAAGGCCCGATCAACTTTCGAGCTGACCCCGCATTCCAGCCAAAGCTTTCTTGACAATTTCTTGTAGTATCCTTAAGGGAGGGGGGTCCAAGGGGGGTATATTGAACCACCTCCCTTAAGGATCCTATAAAAAATTGGGGTCTTCGGTTTAGGTTTATTGGCTTAAAGGGAACTCCAGAAAGTTGGAATATGGTTTCAGGGTAGGATACCTTATAACTTACCATAAAGTGTTTAGGATAATCATATTCCAACTTTATGGCTTCTACTTTAAGGCTGCCGGCTTTGGGTTTGTTTAGGATCTGCCCAGGGTGCGGAAGCAATAAGAACCAGGCCTAGGCCGTTTCAATGAAATGTCGTTGATCATATCTCGCAACAAAGTTTGTAGCACTGCATTGCTTAAGTGTGTCGTTTTGAATCGGTGCTTGTTCCACACACCTCTTGATGCCTCCCGTATCTTTGTCTTCTATCGGTTGTGACCCATAGCTGTCGTTCTCATCTAAAGAGCAACCACTGAGCAACATTCGATACTGCTTCGTTTGCTTGCGCCTTAATGCAATCTGTCAGCCCTCACTACCCTGTGTGCCTATCCCTTTATACCACTGTGATACGATTTGCTTCGGCCGTCCTGCAATAGCGATGGGATGTCCTTTCCAGCTTCCACAGACGCACTCGGTGTATTTTCAGTTTATCTCCGTCCTGGCTTCTTCGCTTTCCGACAGATACGCACTGCATTCCTACGTGCTTGCCTAAACACTTACTTCGCATGAAACCCACAACATTAAGCACTTACATGTTTGCAATCGTGGTTCTGTGGTCGCTCACCCTTTGACTCGGAATCCTCCAAGCCCCCCCAAAACTCAAAAGCCTGAAGCCCTAAGTGAGATCCTCACTCACACGGGGCTTAGGTTCTTTTAGGATTTTTTTTTTAAAGTTAGGATTTTAGGGTTTAGGGTTTGGGGTCCGGGTCGCTGGTCCCAGTAGACGACCTGCGACGCCACTTCCTGGCTTCGTGAAACCACTCGGTCTCAGAGCAGTTTGGAGCCATGTAAGGATTTAGGTTGTAGGGGTGTAGCTAGGGTTAAACCCGCGTAGGGCCCATGTGAGAATTTAGTCCACAGCGACCAGCGGCGGGCATTTTTTGGACGTGGAAGCTTCGGTGGTGAGTTCTGCGATCACACTTCTGCGAAACAGGGTCGAACATGGCCAAAAATCCAAACCAAGTTCTGCAAGATACCATTGTGCTCATCTCAACCGACGGATAAAGCGTCAGACTCTTGAGTCTGCAAATTCATTCATAGTGGGATCCCTTATATGATTCGAGGTTAAAGGATTTTGGTAGGTCTGGGAACAACCATTCAGACTATAGTATTGGGGACCTAAAATACTACTATTTGGCTACTTGGACCCTTGGGATTGCAATCGGAACCAAGTCATGACCATAACCCCAGAACCCGGAAACCCTGCAGCACTAAACCCTAGAGCCTGCAAGCCAGAAAGCGCCAAACGAAACACAAACACGTTAACTATAGAATTCAACACCTCATGCGCCCAATCGAATGCCCTTGAACATCTTATTACCCAGCTAAGACAGCCCACTGAATCCTAAATCACACCAGACCAGACCCCAGAAGTAAACAACCCTCGCGAACCACGATACCGAACCGTCCGGCCCCAAGCCCGGAACTCTGACAGTGACTATCACAAGTCTTCAAACCTTTATAGAAACCCTTCAAAGGAACCTTGAAATGAACTCCCAAACCCTAAACCCTCAAACTCAAAGCCCTAAAACCCTAAAAGCCTGAGTCCTAAACCCTAAACTCATTACGTCGCCTGCACGCCGACGGCATTGCAATACCCACCGAGCCGCCCGCAGCGGACCTACAGTCGGTTTCGAGCTCATAGTAGGGCCCCAAAAAAGCACGCAAGCAAAAACAAGGTTAGGGATAATATCCCATACAAACCCCTTTATAATGAAGCCCTAGAATAACCTAGGGATATCCCCATACAATGATTATGCTTATGTCCTTTTTGGGTTCCTACTTATAGGGGCCTAGGGGTTTCGTGGTTCACGGGCTTTAGGGGTTCAGGGCTTAAGGTTTTAGGGTTTTAGGTTTAGGGTTTGGGCTTGAGGGGTAGGCAAAGGCTTTGTGAGGGCATCCAGGGCTTTCTAGGGTTGCAGAGAGGGCCTCACTCGAGGGATGTATAGGCTTGCAGAGGGGGTTTTGGGAGGGTCTATACGGACGGTGGTAAGGGCTCGTAAAGGGGCTTCCGGATTTTAGTGTTTCAGGTCTGAGGAATCAAGGTTTTGGGGTTTCAGGGTTTTCGGCTCTAGGGTCTGCAGGATTTGTATCGAGTCGAGCTTCAGGGCTTAAAAGCTTCATCAGACTCCGATCCGCTTCGGCTTCGGCTTTTTAGTGGAGTCTAGTGTAAGCAGGGGCCTAAAGCCGATGCTGAAGGAAAGGTGGCTCTAAGGTTTCTTCGGCATAGAAGCTTCAGGTTGCAGGGGGATCATGTAGAAGCCAACATTAGACTAGAGTTTAAAGTACATTTCATGTTCACCAGGAAGGGTATGGTGGTACAAGTTACTCAGATCCCATAGTAAAGTGAAGTATTCTTGACAAAAGGCCCGAAACCTGAAAGTCTGGCTCGAACACCCCAACCGAACCCTATCACTTAGAAGCCTGAATGCTTGCCTTAACAACAAACCTCATAAACCTGAGGCCCTTAGACTAACTTAGACCGTACCTATAGTCTCCATTGTATAGTTCCGTTTAGGGGTTACCTTATAGGATCCCAATTATATATTTGCTTAAACCAAAAAAGGGTACTACAATGGAGGCTATAGGTACCCCTAAACCCTAAACCCCTAAACCCTAAACCCCTAAACCCCTAAATCCCTAACCCCTAAACCCTCAACCCTAAACCGACACAACCAAGGCCCGGGAAGACTGGAGTCATCCAGGCCCCCTTGCATTTGGAGGAGCATGGCTCGACGCGAACAGTCCTGCCCACACTGCGGAATCCGACACCGGATTTCTGGGATTTAGGGTTTACCGTAACCCTGAAGAACCTACCTTTTTAGGGTTCCCGATTATGCTTTCCTTATATAAGTCCTTAAAAAGGTAGGTTCTTCAGGGTTACGGTAGGGTTTAGGGTGATTCAGGTTTGGAGTCTGCGGCATAGATTTGTTGATTTGTTGCCGTGCTGTGCACTACAACCGGTGTCAAATTTTCCTGTGCATTTGCGAGCCCAACTATGCGGGGCGCCATACACAAGAAATGGTGACGAAGAAGGTCTTCCGCAAGTTAACCACTCGAAGGGGTGCTGGGTTTGCTGCTGCTGCTGCTGTTGTTGATACTGGTGTGGGATGTGTCGGATTTGGTAAAATGTAAAACCAGGTCTTGCTCTTCTCGCATTCGCTGGACCCGTCTGCAGTTACAACTCAGTCTGCCATTGCAATCACTAAACATCTCAACCACAACCGTAGCTACAGCCGCAACAACAACCACTACTCCCTGCTCACTACAGAGTACTCAGGGCTCACTCCACACTACTCACTACTCACTACTACTGCTACTACTACTACTACTGCTACGACTACTACGACGACTACTACTACTACTATTGCTACTACTACTACTACTACTCCTACTACTACTACTACTACTACTACTACTACGACGACTACTACTACTACTACTACTACTGCGACTACGATTACGACTACGACCACGACTACGACTAACTACGACTACGACTACGACTAACTACGATTACGACGACTACTACTACTACCACTACTACCACTACTACTACTACTACTACTACTACTACTACTACTACTACTACTACTACTACTACTACTACTACTAGTAATACTGCTACGACTACTACTGCTACTACTACTACTCCTGCTGCTGCTGCTTCTAACACTACCACTACTACTGCTGCTACTACTACTACTACTACTACTACTACTACTGCTGCTGCTGCTACTGCTACTGCTACTGCACTGCTACTACTACTACTACTACTACTACTACTACTACTACTACTACTACTGCTACATGAGGATTGCGAGATGAAGGTGTGGGCAGGAAGTTTTCGGCTTGAGAACTTTCGTATGCGGCTTGACGTACACAACTTGGCAGGCAGATCTGAAGACATCCATTGTTTTTGCAGATGTGTAGCCACGTGGTTCTCAGTGCTGTTGTTGTGACTACTACTGTTCATCTCATTCATCAATGCTACTTGCTGCTACTTGTATTTCGCCGGACAATGACAGTGGGCAGAACGATCTCGCGGCCTGGGATCCCTCGGTTGATGGCATCGAGCACGCGGACATACCTAGGAAGGGACACTGCTCAACTTTCGTGTGCACAGATACCTAAAGCGCCTGTGCTTAGAATGAGACATAATTAATTACCGGTGGTTCCCACACACTGATGGCGGTCATGGGATGGACACTGGTGGCGTACTGGGGGGCTGAAGCTGGCGGGGGCAGCACAGACCCTGCCAAATCTAACAACTATTCAGCCCCACAACATACATGTGCAAAAGTGCGAAACATACAGAAACGTGGAGCCAGAAAGCTTCGCCTTATTCCATCACCCAGCCCTGGAGTCTCATCCAAGCCAGAGCACTCCGAGTTCGTGAAGACTTGGTTGACCAGCGGAATCTCCAGGTATGGCAGGACCATCAGCTTCCACTGCTCCTTTCTGTGGCAAAAGGTACGGCTTAACATGCTTTACTTAGGGTCTACAGGGTCAAAAGTAGGGTCTTATATGGTTGGATTAGGGTCTATCGTGTAAAATGGTCGGTGGGGTTTAACATGGTCTGATGTGGGTCTATAGGGTTAATGGCAGGGTTTGATTTGGTTTGAATAATTAGGGTCTAAAGGGTTAAAGGTAGGGCTTATATGGTTTGATTGGGGTCTATAGGGTCGAAGGTAGGGTTTAATGTAGGGGTGGAAAGGCTATGTTGGAAATAAACCTGAGAACTCACGTTAGCATCACTGGGCAATGCTGCGATATACCCTGGGCACCAACAAAACCTCGGTGTTGAAACTCTGAATCCTACACCGCCCCAAAATCCTGGCAAGATGCGCGTGGCCTCGACTAAAAGACATGCAGCCTCAAGACAGCGCTTATTCAGCGAAAAGCTGCAATTCCTACACCCCAACAGATCCCGAATCTGGGCCAGCTAAGTAAACCGATTTGTGGCCCGTGCTTGCAAGAACGGCTGAAGCTACTAGTGACAGGTCTGAGGGTTTGTGTTTTGCTGTGGGATTCGAGGGCAGGACCTCTTAAGACTTTCGAAACATGTGAAATTACATTTCGGGTGAGGGGCTTTCGGCGTCCATGGAGCATGAGGTTCATTACCAAAATCCTTTACCCTGTAAGCCGTGGGTCTTGGGTCTTGGGGTTCTGCCAAGCGGCATGCGACGAGAACCAGAACCCCTCCTGCACAGTGATGGCACCTTCGGCTTCGCAGGCTTTGGGTTTATGGTTTGGAGTGTAGAAGTCGTCGTTGTCGGGGTAGTAATAGTCGTCGTCGTAGTAGTAGTCGTGGTGGTGATGGTGGTGGTGGTGGTGGCAGCAGTAAAGTAGCAGTTGCTGATGCCGTCGTCGTGTACCACTACTTGCTACGTCTGCTGACTACTGCCAAGACCGTCTAAGCAAGATGATAATTACTAGGTTCCCGAGTATATAGCCCCTTTCTTTAGTCTAATGGTACCTTTGTTCCTACTGTTCGGGCTTAATAAGGGGACCCCCTAAAAAGGGGCAAAAGGGTACTACTCAAGAACCTGTGATAGCAAAGGCGCTGCCATTGGCCGTGGTGTAGTTCCGAGCGACCAGTTTGATCTGCTTCCTGTCGCAGAGTCTGGCTGGGATGCTGTTAAGCCGGCTTAGGGTTTATAGGGTTTAGGATTTTGTTAAGGCATATGACAATTGATTTCCCGTCTATTGTAGCTGGACTCTGGTGGGCTACAGAATGGGGAGGGGGCACTTGATATCAGGGCACTTACTAATACCGGAGAATCCACAGGATGGGGGTGGGAGGAAAGGGTGGTATGGTCATTCCTGTACTAGTTTACTTTACATCATGGGTACATGTACCTAAATACATACATGCATACATACGTACATACATACATACATACATACATATACACACACATGCACATACATACATATCCATCCATCCATCCATCCACCCACCCAGCCAGCCAGCCAGCCAGCCAGCCATCCATCCATCCATCCATCCATTCCTCGTCCGTCCATCCATACATACATACGATGTATTTGTTGTATGCAAGGTGTATGTGCGTATAAATAGGCCCAAGTAGCAAGATCCGTACTATTGAGCATGTTGGAAGCGCCAAACCAGAACCCACGCGTCCAACACCCAGGCAGAATCCTCTAAAGCTTAAAAAGAGCCATGCAGAACCCATTGAAGCTCATGGTACCCATGAAACCCAAACAGAACCCTTTGAACCTTCTAAGTCCCTTCTGACCATTCTTCACCACAGCCCCCTACAAGGATCATGGGATTGAGGTGCTGCATCCAAACATCGCAAAGCCTGCGATCAAGCACAAACTCTGCAGTTCCCTGTCCACAACCCTATCTGCCTGAAGAGCTATAAAAAATGCGAAACCCTAGACCGCAAGGCTCCGTGAGGTTTAACCAACTTCGAAAACAACAGCAAGTGGTAATTGAAGAATATTCAGACGTCTGTATATGGCTTGAGGTGCCATGCCTGAAGGGGTGGGACATTGAATCTGCATGATCCACTGGTAGAGACAGAAAGGCTTCAGATCCAAAAAGCAGATTTCGCAAGTCGGCCCCCGCCCTTGCCATCCCTTTCACAAAGCCGAGAAGGGGAAAAAGGGTAGGGAACCCAGCCCTACATGAGCGAAGCTCGTCTGGCTCATCCCCTAAACGCCTAAACTCAAGTCCCCTAGACCTTAAATCCCTAAACCCTAAACCCAAAGCCCCCGAGCCCCTCAGCCCCAAAACCCTGGACCTTGAACCCTAAGGGCGATGAAAAGCCAGATCTCCCCTACTGGAATAGTACCTGTTAGCATCGAAAGGAAAGTGAGGAAATCAATCGCCTAGGGTTTACCTAGACCCCCTGAACTACGTACCCTGTATAGCAGTCCCTGACCACCTCTTAGTTAGAAATATGAGAGCCCTTCAAAGGGTATTTGGGGGGGTCCTGGTAGGGTCCAGGGTTGACTAGAAACATGCCCCTGCTGTCATGCCCTTCAATTTCTACGCCCCTGACAAACCCAAACTGCAATTCAAAGCAAAACCAGCCCTGAAGCTCTCATACAAGCACACTGAAGCATGTAGTCAAGAAGCCAAACCGCAAGACATCACAAGACCTTACGCAGACCCGAGAGTCTGGAAATCCTCAAGCCCTCCAGCACAGCTTTTCAACATCAACTTAATCACCCTTTAGGCCCTTAACCCTTACATACCCTACTAACACCCTAAACTCTAAACTGCAATACCACAGATATGGATTCTGCCTCTCCCACATCTTGTTCCGTTCTTCCAAACCGTTGTTGGGATAGGCAGACCAATCCTTTTTCGGTTCGGACAGGGGGTTTTGAGTGATTGGGGCTTTTAGGAATTGGAGTTTTGAGTGATTAGGAGTTTCGGGATTTAGGCCTTGTTAGGAATTAGAGTTTTGAGTGATTAGGGGTTTCGGGATTTAGGCCTCGGGCGTCTGCTTTCTAAGCTTTGCGCGTTGACGTCTGGGCTTCGGGGCTTTGAGGCCCAAGCCATCAAAGCTAAACTCCAACCCTACAGGTGCTACCAAGACCCTCCAACTACTTTGAGGGGCATGGGACTTAGTAAGTAGGTTATAAGTAGAGTTATATGTACTGTAAATGGACTTACCCCAATTATAATCCTACTTATAACCTATACTTACTAAGTCCCATGACCCTCCAACTACCCTTTCTAGCAGTCCCTGATTACCTCTTAACGAGTTAGAAATGTTGGAGAATTTTAAAGGGTACTTGGGGGGTCCTGGTAGACCTGCAAGCCTGAAACCCACAAGCTACGGGCTAAACCATGAGAAGTCCAAGCCAGATACCCTTACACCCAAACCCTAATCCGTGGACCGTGCTTTCAATACTCACAAAACCTACTTTTTCTGTGGGGCCCCTGGCATTAAAATTAAGGCTTATAAGCAGGACCTAGAGAAGAGCAGGCTATATATGTTCAAACTGAACCCTACACCCTAAATCACAAAACCCGTTAAACCGAAAGTCCTGGGCCCTAAACTCGAAAACCTGAGGACCCAAGCCGCCGTCTCCTAGATCTCCGTTTTGGCGGTCTAGTGCAGTTTGAGTTGTCTAGTGCAGTTTGGTTTAGCTACACCAAAGAACCGACGAAAGTTTGAAAAAAAACATCAGGCTTCTCTGTTACATAATGAGAATAGAACTCAGACCATAAACCCTAACCCGTACTGCCCTCCAAAAATGCTGGCCTTTAGTACCCAAACCATAAAACCCTACCCCGAACATGTACAACCAGACCCCCACTTCAGAGCCTAAACTCTGCACCACGACAACCCTACGGCTGATAATATAAATCCCTCGGGTTCCTTAACAGGGATCTATAGGGCTTCCAGGGTTGATGATATAAATCCTGCATTACCTTAAGAGCCCTAAACTATGGAAAGTATGGTGAAAGTATGGTGTATTCTCTATTATGGGTAATGCAGGATTTATATCATCAACCCTAGTGTCTTAGCTTGCCTCAATCGTCATACGTGGGCCTGAACAATGGATAAACGGAGGTTTGTTTTCTATGTCCAGGAGGGGGTTGCTATACCATAAGTGTGTACATAATACATATACATATATATATATACACATAATGTAGGAACTAGAAGAGAAGATTCATACTACTTCTCGTGTTGATCGATGTACACCACCAGAACCGGGATATGGAATAGGCCGCTTCTCTTGCGCTGCAGTGGCGCTGACTTTAATAAGGAACCTAAACCCTAAACCGGTGAACCCTAAACCCTACAATCCTAAACCACTAGACCATAAACCCCAAACCAACTACAACGGGCAAGCATCCGCTAGGAGATCCATGAAAAGGACCATCAGCTCCCCTTCGTAGGCATCGTCCAGGAACGCGGGGTACACCATCATCTGAGAGCATTTTGATTGCGGATTAGGGTTAGGGATGAATTAAGGTTAAGAGCAAGTTTAGGATTTGAAAGCAGCTTGATTCTGCGTGTCTGTGTGTGTGTGTGTGGGCGCGCAGCTGTGTGCATGTGGTTGGTTGTTGGTTTGAAGCCTTTTCTCAACCTAGCCATTCGTGCTAACTTGGTAAGCAGAAGTTTAGGGTTCAGAGGTGGTTTATACAGCCTGTCGTTGAGCAGCATTTTCCCCAGTGCTTCATAGGCAATGCAGAGTTGTCTCAAGCCAAGCCTTACCCGACAACCCTACGCCCTAAACCCGAACAAGGTGCAATGACGCATCCGAAACCAACCCGCGGGATTTAAACAACAAAACGACCTAATATATGGGCCTTAATATTAATAGTTAGAATAAGGTTTGCGGGTATGTCATGTCAACTATAACTATAATAAGGAACCCCCCAAAATCCGATTCTGCTTAATAAGGCACCTACATTGGCACACAAGGTCTTTGGGTCTGCTAGAAACCTGCATGACTCGGTTTCGAATGCCAGAACTACCTGAGCTACACCTGCTTAAAGGATCATGGGACTTAGCAACTACGGTTATTATTGAGGTAACTATACTTATGACTACATATGACCCCAGTTAAGGGGCTTATAACCATACTTACTAAGTCCCATGATCCTCCAAGTGCGCTTTGACACGGTCATGTAGCAGCAGGCATTCGCCCCCACCGCTTATTTTGTTCACTAGGACTCGGGCCCAGAAGAAGCGCCCCTACCACGTGCCCTCAGCACCAGAGGAACCTACCTCAACTACGGAAACTATGACTAAAGTGACTAAAGCTTCGATCCTTTGAAAACCGAACCCGAAAGCTACGCTTGATGGACAAAGCCCTCATCACCTCAAGTAGCTTCAAGTCTGGGAGATATGGCATATGCATTCCGAGGACAATGAGGGATTGCGTCCATGAGCAATATTTTCTGCGGAACATTGAATTGAACATCAGGGGAACGCAAATGCTCTACCTGATGGAACCAAGGTGCTGTTTCGGCATTGTCGGAGGCATTGAAAGCATCACGAGAGGTGTTCCTGCTCAGCGTACCGTACCGTTCCTTCACTACGTGGCAATTCATTCAGCCTGACTCCTCCCAAGCTAGGAACTCTCAAAACCGTGTGTGAAGCATACTGCATGAAAGCAGATGATGAAGGATGAGTCGAGGTCTACTGCAACCGAACATGCATTCTCAAAGTCGAGCACAAGGCAGTATCTGACCTGGAGAAGGACCGTGGCTCCGAGCAATGCTCGAGAAAAAGTCGCCTCAAACAAAACCACACTTCAGGACAACCTCAGTACGGTTGATGATATAAATCCTGCATTACCCATAATCAGGAATATACCATAATTCCCATAGTTTAGGGCCCTTAAAGTGATGCAGGATGTATATCGTCGACAGTATGTGTCCGCTATATGCGACCACTGTGACCGCTCAAGTGATCCAAACAAACGGCCCAAGTCCAGCCCCCAAAGTATCGACGTGAGCAGAAAGAGCAGTCGTCGCAGGGCAGAACCGAGGAAGGAATGCAACGGAGCAACCCTAACAACGACAGTGTCTGTTTACGATATAGTATAACCCCCGAACCTTATTCTTACGATTCAGGCCCCTTATATGATGCGTTCGATGTGGGGCATACTCCGATTGTTTGTTCCCCGAGCTTAAATCCGCAAAGTCTATAATGGTAAGCCCCGTCGTTTTGGATGCTCACACCTGCCAGGTGTGGGGTTTGGGAAAAGAACAAAAAGGCAGCGCAAGTGTAAAAACTTAGACAGGGGCAGTCGAGGCCTTGAAAGGAGATGCCCAACTCTGAACCGTAAGAGCATTGCATAGATTTTACAGTACACCATGCATCACACAACACGCTTTTCAACATGTATAAGTACGCTCTACACATATATGAACATATATATATATGTATATACATATATATATATATGTGTGTGTGTTAAAGTTGACGTCATCTGTCAAGCCGCACGATCTTCGACACGGCACGGACCGCCCCAGTCCCACGGCCGGCATAGAAGAGGGGAACCTGAAATCTACTTCGAAGTGTAAGGGTTCCTTTAAGGGCACTACAAGGGTTCCTTTGAATTCAGGGCGCTATAAGGTGTCCTTGTAAGGGCTCCTATAAGGCCGGAACTGTACTGAAATCCCTGAATGGGATGGGGGCCCTGTATGCTGAGTTTGGCAGCTAAACCTTCACATCAGGGTTTAGGGTCTAAGTTTTCCGGCTGCATTATGTACGGCTCAGGGTTATAAATGAGGGCTACCAGAAAGGCACCTCGGACCGAGGGGAGCAAATGCCAGGGGTTTGTGGCAGCGTTCCCCAAGGGTCCATGTACTCACATAGTATATACATAGGCCTTAAAGTATTCCCTATATAGGTACATTGGGCCCCAAGTATATGCTATATGGCTACATGGACCCTTAGGGATTGCCAATTGCGTGCCATCTCGTCTCGTGGTTTTTCCCGTGAGTGGACGTCCGCTTGCTAGAGTCAGTAGTAGGGCTGCGGCTTTACCTAGACCCTGAATTGTGGCATCTTGTTCCGGCTCCTCTGTTTTCTTCTGAAAAAGTCCTAAACTATAAAAATGCAATTCTACGTCCCAGGTTATGAAACATGGTACGAGCATTCCGACTTATGGTCCGGGTGTTGTAGTACTGGATGTGATTGGTGGTGCGATGTATGGTATTAGACATTAGTATCAGTTGCAAGTCTGTGTCTTCGGTTGTGCAGAGAAACGTGCGATACGGAAAAAACAACTGGACAAGGGCGAGTGCAAATCCCTGGGTCAGGGTTTAAGGTCTCGCAACACTGTGGAAATCCGGATAATCCCCGTGGAAACTGATCTTAAAGCCGGCGCAGAATTCAGAACTCCTCCAGCTTTCTCTCACTCAAAAAGACTACAGTAGCCTAAGCACTAAACGCAAATCCTAAACCCTATAACTTTAAACCGACAATCATAAAGATTTAGGCCCCGCAGCCGAGATATTACACCCTATATGTGAGCCCTATATACAAGCCCTTAACCGCAAACCCTAACCCTAACCCTAAGGCTCTAAGGACTCATATTTTAAGGCTTTTGGGCCTAAAGACCATACTATATAAGGCTTTTGGGCTATTTTGAGCCTTAGGGTAAACCTTAAACCCTGCACTTGTAGCCCTAGACCCCAAACCTAAAACACTGCGCCCTCGACCCTAAAGCCTCATCGCTTCAGCTCAAGCAGCAGGCTACACCTTAAAATTGCCACCCCACGTCTTGAATGATAACTCATGAGAGCGGTCCTTCTGCTTTCGAGTTCTCGGGTTTGGGAGCATGGACACCCTGAAGGCACGACAACGTGTGCTTAGAAATAGCTTTCGGCGATATGTACCCGCTCCTTTTTCGGGCCAGGCTCGTGGCGGCAAGTATCTTAATGGTTGGTTTAGGGCTTGGGGGAAGCACGAACTCAATCTGACCCTTGCCACGAGCAACGGCCGTTGTGCGCATCCTCTCCAATCGCGCCTGGAGACCGGACTGGTAGATGCTCACGAACAACCCTTAAATCCACATAGATCATACGACCAAAGCTGCTTTCACTATGGACCTCTGATATTCACAGTTACATAGCTGCCTGGGGCACCAAATTGGGACGAATTGGGGCAATGCCCCTCCGGCCTATGCGTACACTATGAGACTTCGCATGAAACTTACCCAGAAATCCGAGTCTTTTTTGTAATGAAACTATTAGGAGCTTAAGTGCGTAGGGCTGTGGCAACAAACACGACGTCCCGTACTCTAGTCAGCAAGTCATCAGTGAAGACCTGATCCTCAGTATAATTTACAGAACCCGCTACATAAAAGTGTCCCGGGTTATCCAAACAGTACCCAATGTAGGAGACTATTTGCAGGATCATGGGACTTAGTGAGTAGGGTATAAGTAGGTTATAATTTATTGGGGTAACTCCATTTAGGGTACTTAGAACTCTAATGCTTATAACCATACTTACTAAGTCCCCTGCCCCTCCAAGTAGGCAGACTCGAATGAAGACGGAGAACCGACTTGGGATCCGGTATGAAGGAGGCCATCTGGGAGTTCCCGAAAACTAGGGCTACTTCATTTTGGGGTCCTTCTAATAAGGATCCTACTACTTAGGGTACTATATGTGGGTCCCCTACATTCGGAAACTCCCATCTACTTGCACTGCACAAGTTTCCAGCCTCCCAGCGCTTGGCGAGCGCGTTGAACTTGGGATCCTTGCAGGTACGCGACTTATCACACTTCCCTAGGGATCTAAGGACTCATATATTTATATGAAGGCTTTTGGACCCAAAGACCATACCATATAAGGCCTTTGGGCTGTTGTTTGTGTTAATTTTGGACTGTTTTGATCCCCAGGGCTTCAAGACGCAATCCTCCTTGCAGCTCTGAGCCTTTCGCGCACGCGGGGCCCAGTGGTCAAAAGTGCCGAATTACGGGTTACGGGTTGAGGGTTTAGGGTCTAACCCTAAACCCTAAACTGTGAGGCCATTCCGAGCGGTCTTGGAACCTGTCACGCCCTAAGCACTGAACCAAGGCCCCGAACTCTAAGCCCCGGACTCCAAAAGGCCCGACTGACAAGAGAAACACTGATACCCCAGGGCTCCAGTTACCTGGGTTTGGGGTTTGGGGACTGGGTTTGGGGGTTTAGGGTTCAGCAGTTTAGGGTTTAGGGCTTAGGGGTGTAGGGTTTGAGGTTGACGGCTAGAAATTGGGATACGGATTTTCATATTATATGGTTAGCTATACTCTCTCTTTGGCTTTTTTAGGTAACTGGAGCCTTAGTGACTTAAGAAATCCTTCTGAGGAACCCTGAGAGGGTAGGGTTTTTGGTCACGCTCGGGCTGTTTTTCCGGGTGTCCAAAAACCTAAACCGAGAATACGAGTCTAAGCTACCGTTCGTTTAAAGGCTCCTTTCAAAGGCCTCTCCAGGGTTCCCCTAACCCTATAGGATCTAAGGACTCATATATTAAGGCTTTTTGGGACCAAAAGACCATACTATAGAAGGCTTTTGGGCTATTTTGATCCCTAGGGTAAATTGGCTCGGTCAACAGGGACCCGCTGACATCCCGAGTTCTGCCTCCGTCGCTCGTCGACGCAGGGTCCGCGCCACGGCGTAGGTGCCCCAAGCGAGCTGGCCATTGTCCAGGCCCGGCACCTTGTAAGGGTTTGTTAAGGAATCTTTAAGGGTTGATGTAAGTGTTCCTTTGAGGGTTTTTTCTAAGGGTTTCTTTTAGGGGAGCCTACACTCTGCACCCCAAAACCCTAACCCCTGCAACCCCTACAGCCTTTGAAGCCCTGAAAGCCCTTCCCAAGGGGTCCTAAGTACCAATATAGTAGAATGTAGGGTTTCTGTATTAGGAACTACTACTATGATTTAGGGAAGTATCCCCCATAACAATACCTAGGACCCTTTGGGCTTAGAGCCTTAAGTCAAGCCCCAGATCTGATTCGTCACCTTGTTGAAGAAGTCGTTGGTCGGGGCCAAAGTTGACGCTTCGTCCTGCAGGCTGCGGCACTGGCGGACCCGTCCTGCGAAGGAGTGGCTCTAAGAGATTCAGGGGTTCCTAGGGGTTCTTTGAAGGTTCAGGGTTTAGGGTCTGGGTTTTCGGGTTTAGGAAGGAAATTTACATAGGGGTTTGGAGAGCCGAATACCCGACCAGTGCGGAAAATTACAAAAGGAAGGCCGAAATGAACTGACATGAACTCTGTAGTTACAGAGCATGGGTCTCTCTGGTCGCTCTTCCTCTGTTTCATGCTCGCATTATAAGCTGCAACCTTAAACCCCAAGCCTCAAGCCCTAGACATTAAACCTTGCATCCCAGTCCCGAAGACCTGATCAATCCCTCGTAAGCCCTAAACCCTAATTAATCCCTAAACCGACAGAGGGTGAGATATTGACTAGAGTTTTCGTTAAGGATTTAGAGTCTGAGCTTTTTGAAAGCCCTGAATGCGCGGTTTAGGGTCAAGGGTCTTCATGATCCTTCTTCGTCGTGTTGGTGCTCATGAAGGATTTCAGAGCTCTTCAAAAGCATGACCATTGCACAACCAGGTATGAACAACCCTGCGATAAAGTCCTATAAATCCCTGAGCAAAACCATATATGGTGTATTCCGTGCTTTCTTCCCCCTCAACATAGACACTAAGAAACAAGTGCGGCCATCTCGCAAGAGAATCAAGGGTGTACCCCTGTTCGACATGGGAGCATAGAACTCAGACTCCGTTTAACCTGCTGAGCTCTTTCCCGACCATGTAATTAAAACCTGAGACGGAGCCCTCTTCCGTTTGGAGTCTCTTGGTCTTGGCCGTCGCCCTAAACCCTAAAGCCCGGTTTCGGTTGCAGGCTCTTGGTCTCGGCCGTCCAACAAGACAGGCAAACCTACTTGTCGGGTATCATGGGTAACGGGTAACTAAAGGTTGACCTTTTTGGTCATACAGGGATTATATAGGGACTATACTACCTAAAAAAGGTTAAAGGTTGCCTACTCGGAGGATCATGGGACTTAGTAAGTAGGGTTAGAAGTCCCCTAATTGGGGGTTATAAGTAATTATAAGTATAGTTACCTTAATAAGAACCCTAGTTACTAAGTCCCATGATCCTTTAAGTACTCTACTACAAAGCCAATCGACCTCAAGACCCAAGCGGCGGAGGCCTCTCTCGATGGCCCCACGGGTACAGAACCACGGCAGGAAACCTCCAGACTGGAATATGGGGGAGTTTCCGAAAACTCGGGGCACCTTACGGTTCCTTTACAGGGTTACTATAAGGGTACTATAAGGGTTCCTTTAAAGGGCTCTATAAGGGATTTAGATTTTCCGAAAAGTAGGGGTACCTTATGTTGGGGTCCTCATAATAAGGATCCTACTGTTCAGGGTGCTATATGGGGCTTTGTGTGTCAGGCTTGAAGGGGCTGCAGAGGTTCGGGTTTGGGGTCTGGACAAACGCAGGCCCCACGGTAACCCTTTCTGCAGGATTTAGGGTAGTGTGGTTTCTGGCCAAAGAAAGTCAAGCGCTTAACCGGGTGCTGGCTTGTACAGTGGACTTCTGCATTCATCCATAAGGTATGACCATAACGTGCTGCTTTCGGAGGGTTCTTAAATGAAGCCTCAGTAAGAAGTCTCAAAAATACCCTATATACGGAAACTAGCTTCTGGCTGGCTAGGGTATGTGATTGCAAAAACCATGTAGATAGAACCCAAGTAGGAACAGGCCCTGCAATGGCGATCCATAAGACGTTGTTCGCACCACACATGGGACGGTCGTATGTGTGTATATGTATATATGTATATATACACACACATATACGTACACAGTAATACTTGCATACAGCATACACATAAAAGTTGCTTGCAACTAAGAATTTCGTCATCCGATTAACTCAAAGCAAGGAAGAATGGACATCACGAGGCTTCTGGAAGCCATGGACTTTTTGTTCAGATACTGAAACAGGGAGAGACCTTGCTTTTGCTGTTTAGAGCGTGCAAAGCTTTGGGCCTAGGATTTGTCATGTTCGGCTTGCGGGTTAGAGAACGTAGGGCTTCAGTAGTCTCTCCTAGGCTGTGTCAGCACTATGGTGCAATCAAGATGTTCATTGTACCCTTCTTGTCGGACACTCACAGAGTATAAGTGCCTTAAGAATATTTGAGTACGGCTTTGTGGTGTAATAAACTAGTGTACAGCTTCAACAAGGCACTCTAATGAATAACATCGAAAGATAGATTGGCTTCGGTGTTAACACAAGAAGAAATGCGCCCGGAACACTAAAACCCACAATCCGAAACATCCAAAGACTTAGTAATCCTCGTCATGCTCTCAGTAGTCATGGAGGCCCATGATGAACCCTAAACCCTAAACCCAAAACCCTAAACCCTAAACCGAAATCTGACCGGGATTGTGCTCGGGATCCCAGTATTTATCAGAGGTCTACATTGCATCACGGAAGACCTCCATACCCTGGCTCCGTTTTATCGAAGTCTTCCATGGTCTTGACCTGTGGCAGGGCTGTAACCAACCGGATCAGGGTTCGGCGTTCAGGGTGTTGTTTAACGCTTTCCCGCCTGTCGGGTTTGGCTAGGGTTTATACGGCCCGAGAGCCTGCCTTTTTCATCGCGTTCACGGCATGTCGAAATGCCAAACCCTAAGCCTCAGACATCAGATTTTGCAGGACAAGGGTGATAAACGAGGGAAGTTCAGGATGTAAGGATCCAGGCTTTTTGTGTCCAAGGCCTGCCAAGTAGTGAAGGTACCCAGAAAGAGAGGAAATGTACCTATACTTGAGGTCATATCCTCTTTTAACAGGTACATTGTTGACTCTCTAGGTATCCCTTGTTAAGATCCTTACTTATTAGGATCCTTAATCTTAGAAAAGCTCTAACTCTAATCCTCAAAAAGAAAGGGGTGCGTTGGTTACTCCTGAGTTGAGTCATGGGTTTCGGCCTTCAGGGCTTGAGGGTTTACAGTAGAAGCCAAAAAGTTGGAAACCCAATAGCCTCAATCCTTATGAGTAATAGATAGGGAATCCCAGCACTATTTGGCCTTAATCCGGTTTCCAACTTTATGGGGTTTACTGTAGACTGTCTGGTAAGGCGAAGGCTTCAAGGTTTTGAAGGCCGTAGCGCTTAATGTAGGAACCTGATTTAGAAACCCTGGGTCTTTATCAGGGCTCCTTATATGAATCCTGCTATTTCGGGGGTTTTAGGGCCAGGGTTTCGTGATCAGGTTCCTACATTAGGGCCTGCAGGTTCAGGGCGTTTAAGTTTTAAGGGTTTAGGAATTCGGGGTTCAGGGTTTACCTAAAGTCTCCATTGTAGTTCCCCTTTTTGGCTTAACCAAATATATAGTTAGGATCCTACAAGGTAACCCCCAAAAGGGACTACAATGGAGACTATAGGTAGGACGTTTAAGTTTTAAGGGTTTAGGAATTCGGGGCTCAGGGTTTAGGATTTAGGGTTAGGGGTTTAGGGCTTAGGGTTAGGGGTTAGGACGTGAGGGGATTCAGCTTGTGTCGGGTTGCGGCTTGGCTGGAGCAAGGCTTTGGCGTACATGTGCGCTATGCCGTCGAGCTTGAGGGCTCAAGCGATTAAATGTTCGGGGGTAGGGGGGGGGCGCTCAAACTTTAGGCATCGGTATGCCTGTATGTATATATATATATATAAACACTGACATAGGTAGATGGATAAGTAGACAGACAAGCAAACCCAGAGACGGATAGATCGACAGATAGATAGATAGATAGGAGTTGGGGGAGGGATCCAAGGGTTTACGGATTCGCGTGTTAATTAATGCTTCGCGTTTAGGTTGGGTTTAGAGCGGAAGGACGCATGATGGGCTGACAGTTTCATCTTCTACCGTTTATATGCATCTGCTAGCCGAACCTTTCGCACAAAGTATGCCAAACAAACAGTGAGAACGGACACTCCAGGAGGGCTAGATGGTCAGCAAGATTTGACATGTCCATGACACCAACGAGCGGCACATCTTGCAACGGTTGGGTGACCTGCACCGGCAATCGGCATGTGCTGAATCATTTGCCACAGCGCGAACAAACATTCACCTGCCACTGGTAATTAACGCTGGTGCTGCAAGCCGCTCACGCCAAAACGACCAAGTACCACCCTGAAGCAAAACCCCCAACTCCAAACCTAGACCCTACTCGCAACCCCCGAGCCCTAAATCCAAAGCTCAAGACGCAAACGCTTCGATGCCTTCTTCTCAAGGATCTCCATCGCCTCCTCTTCGTCGTAGACCAGCGGGGCCAGGTCTGCACACACTTCGAAGAAGTTTTGATTCCGTTTGCTCTTGTGACCTTAGAACGTGTTTGCATTGAAAGGCTTGCGGAGGTTTGATAGGATTCAAACGTAAGGTGGAGAGATGATAGGGCAAAGCTCAGTTGCAAAAGAGCGGCGCTCTCTGCAGCTTCACATTTTGGGGTTCACTTGTCGCTAATCGCATTCCCAAAGGGTCCAAGTATCATTATGGTATATACTTAGACCCCCAAAATACCCTATAAGCATATACCATAATGATTCTTGAACCCTTTGGGATTGTTGTTTTTGGTATCCTGATCATGTCAGGGGTTGGAACACAGGCTCGTGGTTGTCACCCTCGCATGCGGGTCCGTAAGGAAACACTCAAAACTTCTAGCACCAGTCTACGATGCCGAGTAGGAAGAGAGAATAGCCAGACACTCTTGTGCAGATCATCACCGCATGTGCGCGAGATTTCGTTAACAACAAGTATAATCTTACGCTCCGAATCATCAAATCTGCAGCAGTGGGGTGCATTGCAGAACACTTCGCCGGTTCCCTCGGCCATCAACCTGTCTCATACATGTGTGTATATATATATGTATGTGTACATATATATATATATATACATGTATACATGCATACAGACGGACATACATCCATGCGTACATGCATGTATACATTCATGCATATACCAGAACCGACACAGCGATGTCAAGCTATCAGCTATCATTTAGGAGATTTCATTTTCTTGATGGGGCCCGAAATTTAACATCATACCGCCGAAGTACAAACGAACTTCAAACACTAGCGCCATGGACCTTAAAGCCCTAAACCTCCAAACCCCAACACCAAAATCCCCTTAATCGCAACCCTAAATTCCCTGAGTCCCAACTCTAAAGCACCAAAACCCAAACTCTAATTTCGGAAACCCTTACAGGAACCCTTAATGAAAGAATGCTAAAGCCCCCGAGCCCCAACCCTCAAACCACTATAGCAAATTTTACCCCTATTGTCTCGTTTACGGTGCCAACAACCCTAAAACCTACACCGTAACCTCAACTCTACATCTCCAAATCCCATGAACCCCATGCGTCGTTGAAGTAACCAAGGAAAAAGTATATGTAGACGTTCATGTCATCATGGTTGATTTAAGGAACAGGTGCCAGAAAACCTATTCAAGCATGGTACTCCAAACCCTAAACCCTAAACTCCAAACCCTAAACCCTAAACCCTAAACCCTAAGGCCCTAAACTCCAAACCCATGTATGAGGGGGCCTTTTCCGACGAGGCTTGGGTTCAAAGCCAAGGCCAAAAGGCTTAGGTGCAGGGCTTCCTGTGAAAAAGCTCTGGGGTTTAAGGGTTTAGGGCTTGAGGCCCTAGGTTTAGGGGCTTAGGGGTTTTAGGGTTTGGGGTGTAATGTGTACCTTAACCCTGAATAACCTACCTTTTATGGTTCCCTACTACGATTTCCTTATGTAAATCCTCAAAAAGGTAGGTTCTTCAGGGTTAAGGTAGGGTTTACTACAGGGTTCAGGGTTTGGGGTTTAAGGTTTGGGGTTTACCTTAACCCACTAGAACCTACTTGTTTGTAGGGTCCCTAAAGATTCCATATTAAGGTTTATTCTTATCCGAACCTACAAGAGAGCAGGTTTTGGTAGGTTGGGGCTCAGGGTTTAGGGATTTTGGGGGTTCTGAGGTTGGGATTCAATGATATATTTGTGAACTTGAGGGTAATTTGGGGTCTCTACTTCCGGGCTTACGGATGCCAGGGTTTGGGGAATTGGCTAGCTTGCTATTTGTATCCTGTATCTTTCAACTTTATGAATCGGTCCACCTGTAGTCTGAAGTGTAGTTCCCTCTTTCTTCACTAACTTTATGGCGACAAAAGAGTACTATAAACTTGTTGAGCCACAACAAAAGGAACCACAATGGCTACTATAAGTAGAGTCTCGAGGATGCTCAGACGTCCCAACTTTTAAGCTGATGATATTTGGGTATCAGGATGCCACCCGATTTTCTGGGTCTTCATTCTGCCTGAATACTTGGAATATGGTTTTGGGGCCCACTATACCATGAATATAATAAGGATCCCCCAAAACTTTATTGGTAACTATGTGGGCCCCATATTATACGTATGTTGCCATAATCATGAGGAAGCCGTATCATTCGTGATAGATCAGCCTTCAGGGGTGTGTAGAGGAGTAGAAGATGCCTGGAGCAAGGCTTGTGGGAAAGATCCAGTACAGTACACTAGAAGCCCAAGAGTTGGAAACCCCATAGCCTCAATCCTTAAGAGTAATGTATAGGGAATCTCAGCACTATTTGGCCTCAATCCGGTTTCCAACTTTCTGGGCTTAAACTGTGTGTTGTGTGTAACGGTACCCTCAACCCAAAACTTGCCAACCCGTGGTTACTGCACTCGATCCTAAACAGGAAGCCCGCTCCCTGGACCCAATTCCACATTTTCCTTTTGCACTAACACCGAGTCTTAGAACACTAACAAGACCAGATACCAATGTAGACCCAAACTAGTAGCAACTAGCAGGATCCTTCTTTATAAGGACCCTGCGATAAGGTACTCCCAAAGCACCTGACGAAAACCCGGCTTCTGAAGGAAAGTCGTCCTTGGATGCGGCGGAAAAGCCAAAGGGTCCCGCAGGAGGAGGACCTCGATTCAGCTCGCCTGCTCAATTGTCGGGTTTCTAGATTTGCTTCGAGTTCCAAGGTTCCGCCGTAAGGTTTAGTAGGCTGTCTTGTTTTTTTGAAACCCCTTTTCCTCCCTGCTACAGTCGGAATAGGCCGTAGGATTTAAGCTTAGGCTCGAGGGTTTGGGGTCGAAGGTCTAGGGCGCAAGACTGCGCTGCACCAGTCCCCGCACACTAAAGTTTAAAGCCGGATAACAACTTGATAACAACCTAACCTTGAACCAAAACAGCTTGCGGGCCTCTAGACCTAAGCTGCCTAAGCTCAAGATGTTCAACCTTGAGCCATAAGCCAATATCACCTTTCACTCCGGACAGAAGTTAAAAAAATAAAGCCCAGAAAGAAGCCTTCAACCCGACAACCCAGCTGTTGCACAACAGCGTCACCTACGCCCCGGAATCCGAGAAATGGAAGCCTCGCCCCAAACACCCTCAATGCTACAAGATTGAAGCCCCCAACTTCGAAACCCCGGGCCCTCAAACTTACCTTTGGTTAGTAGGGAATGGAAGGGGCCTTATAAGGGGGTCTATAGGGGTTACTATAAGGGATCTATAAGGGTACTATAATATTAATATAGGGGCCTTAATGATCCTATAAGTTACCTTTGTTTTGTAGGGAATGGAAGAATGGCAGTAATCGTAGTTATACTTGTACCCCATTCCTCCATTCCCTACTTACCGTAAGCAAACCCTAAACCCCAAACCTAACAAAACAACTGCCTCTTAATCTAAACCGCACCTGTGGCGGGGTCCAAAGAAATTCCGTCGAAGGTCATGCCAGTCTCCTGTGGTAGGGATGTAAGGCTTAGGGCGTAGGGTTCAGGTTTGGGGTTTAGGGTTCATGCTTGGGGCTTTTTAGGCTTCATCCGGGATTGTGAGGTCGGCGGGCAGGGCACAGGAAATTTGAAAAGTGGCATTGTGCCAAGTGTACAGCTGCTCTGTCCAGGACGAATCTGACGTATACAACAAGAAATCGAGCCGACTTCAACGACGGATCCATAGCGACTAACATTTTACAAGTCGGGCCAGAATGACATGTTCGGATGTTTTACAGGTGATTTTCTGCAGACCAAATGCGGACTCAGATCTTGAACAAGTTGCACAGAAACAATCTCAAGAATCCCGGCGAACCTGAACCCTTTACCAAAGCACCTCTGGCGATAGCCAATGCCCACAATAAACTATGTAAACCCTAAGCCTTGTAAAACTGAAAACCCTCTACCGCTTAATAACCACGAAACCTCTACCCGAAAATGCACTAATACCCGAACCCTTTATCCCACATGCACAGTTCCGAACCCGTCGGGTTTAGGAAACATCCATCCCCCGAAAACTTTACTCTAATCATTCTCTAATCTAAATGCTATAGGCCGTGAACCTCCTACCCTGAACCCACACACTACATCCTGAGAAACAACCTCAGAACCCCAGAAACTCTGTACCCTCAATCCTAGCAACTCTGAACCCCCAAAGGGTCCAAGTATGATTTTGGTATATACTTAGACCCCCAAAATACCCTATAAGTATACCATAATGATACTTGGACCCTTTGGGACCCTAATCCTCAGACCAAAAACCCAAAAACCAAAAACAAAAAAAAAATGTACAGAGGGTCTTCTCCAAAGGCTGGCTTATGAAACCCAATATGTAATGCTCAGTCCCGTAAGGGTTTAGGGTTAGTGGTTAGTCTATAGTTTCCATTGTACCTGCTTTTTGGGGTTTAACAACTACGTATAGGAAAGCCCTCATCAAGCTGCCATGCCTAAAGCCCTGCATAAACCCTACCCACCAGCTCAAACTTTTCGACGAGGCTCCTGATCGTAAGCAACACCAGGCTCGGCAAAGAAACGCCTGGATCTTTGTGACTTTAGGATGCTTTAAGTCTGTGTTTTGGTCTAGGGTCTTTTACGGGGTCCGAGTTTTTAAAGGGCTTGAAGGGGCTTATGAAAAGCTTTTTCAGGGGTTTATAAGGTTTAGTTCTTCATTCAGCGAAGGATTGTCCGGCATTCGGGTTTCATACGGAATCCTACGCCCATTTGCCGTCAACGACATGCTGCTGCTTCGGGGTATTTACTGGAAACCAGCTGTCCGAAACCGAAGTCCTAAACCCTAACCCCTAAACCCCTAATCCCTAAAACCCTAAACCCCTCATCCCTAAAACCGTAGAGCCTAAACCCTAAAACCCTAAACCCTAAACCTTCTAAACCCTAAACTTCTAAACCCTATAACCAGCTTTGCTGGCTGAATTGTGTCTAGGTTTCTTGGCCCAGCTCTGTTATCCGCAGATGTGCCATGAGCTGAAGAACCAAGAAATCCTAAGCTTCCGGGGTATTAGGGTCTAGGACTTTAAGGTTTAGGGTTTAGGGCTGAGGTGACTGCCCAGAGGCCCCATAGCCCATAGTAGTTCCTTTTTGGGATTACCTCATAAGATTCTAAGTATGAACCCCAAAAAGGAACTACTTTGGGGCCCTAGGGTAAGGCCCTGATTTCATGCACGCGTCCAAAACTGTTATCTTCGAGCCAAAACCCCAGGACATCGCAAACCTGCAGCTCCCAACCCACGGCACAAAACCACAAAGTCAGGCCCGCGCCGGCCTAAAATCCCATGGTTTATATGGTTTAGGGTTTCAAGCCTAAGCCCATACCCCGGCAACTCCAAACCGCGCAACCTCGAGACTCCAATATCCCTTAGTTAAGGAATATATCCCTCAAACCATAGTAGGATGCCCAATATGGTTTAAGGTATATTCTTTAACTAGGGGATACTGCAGCCTCTGGGAACCCCATATCTATGGCCACTTGGACCCAGTGGCCAGAATCAAAGTCATGCTCCAAACAATACGTTCGTGTCATTCTTGACAACATCAAACTAGAGGCCCTACACCCTAATACTATGCATCCCCACATCATATATGAACCTTAAGCCCTTTTAGGGTTCTTTTCGAAGTTAAGGAACAAAACCTAGCCTAAGCCCTAAACTCCAACACCCCTGACCTCGAAACCCTGAACCTTAAACTTTAAACCACCATCCCTGAGACCCTAAACCCTATAAAAGGTCGATGGCGACTAAGGACGAGGCCGCTCAGCCTTGATGGCTCGTTGCTTGAACAGTCGGCGCGTCACTTCGTCCTTCGGCAAAGCGGTTTTAGGGTTGAGGGTTCAGGGGTTCAGTCAGGGTTTAGGGGTTTAGGGTTTCCCCCGCAAAGACAACTAATAAACAAACATACACGGAAGCGTGCTGCATTTCGGTGGTGCTGAAGATCTTGCTGGTGAGGTCCGCTTAGGGCTACTATAGGGATTCCGGTAAACGGTCGTCTTTAGGTCATTCTGAGGTCGTGCTTCTTTACGCCCCTATTCAGGGTTTTGCCTATGGCATCACGGAATAGGGGACACGGGCATGTCCGGAACCGTGCAAACCCAAAGCAATGGAGCCTAAGAGTGCCGAGACTTGAGGCTACGGGGCTGCCGGTTAAAACGAAGGCATGTGATCGCACAAAAGACATCTGTCCCTGACGAGGCTGCTGCTGCGGGGTTTGAGTGTTCGGGCTGGGCTCCGTTCGGCGTCCCATCCGTGCTGTAATAATTAGAGCAGGATTTTGGGGTCCATTATACGATAATCATGAGAAGGAGCCCCCCCCAAAATAGTACTGGTAGTTGTTTAGGCCCCTATATTGTCGTACCCTCAAGAATCCCTCATAGTATCCCTTATAGACCCCTTTCAAGGAACCCTAGGAACCCTGCCCCCTTCAAACCCAGACCTGTCAACCCCCTGAAACTTCTGGACCTATGCTCGCTTAAATCCCTTAGCGGACCCTTAACCCTGAACCCTCAACCCTAAACCCTATGATTCAACGTTTGTTTATTTATGGGCCCTTTTCCGTCTGCATGTGCGTCCGAAAGCCCAGAAGTTGAGGGATACAGGGTTTAGGATTTGGGGTTTAGGGGAGAAGGGCTTGGATAGACTCAAGTGCGCAGGTGCTGCAACATGGGTTCAGACCCCGCCCGTGACCACCAGGAGCGTCTGTGGAGCTCAGGCCAACTGAGCTAAGGATCATGGTAATGAATTAGTAAGTATAGTTATAAATATACCGAACAATTTGGGTTATAAGTTCTTATAAATGATTGTAGTTACCCTAATCATACATCTGATTACGAAGTACCATGGTCCTTTAACTAGCACTGTGCACAGCGTGTCTGTCCTGTGCCCTTTCGCTGGAGGTGAGAGCTGACTGTGTGGTTCCATGGACCACAACCCAAAAAGCTCACTCAGTGTACTCACCCTAAACTGACCTCACGCCCAAGCCGTACAACACAGGAAGACTCCTGCCAGTCGGCATCGTGGAAGACTTTGGAGAAGCGACAGCAGCTTGGGTTCTGCAGAGATTCGGGACAGGTCTTGAAGAGTCTTGCTCGATTGAACGTGGGACTTGGTAAGTAGGGTGGGTTGAGGGCTTAGGGCTTAGGCTTTAGGGTTCAGGCTTAGGGGGTGGCTTTACTGATGCTACGAACGAAGTCCCGTGATCCTTCGAGCAGGGCTCGGGGTCTCGGATGAAGGCTTGGATTCAGGTCTTGAGGCTTTGGGCCTGGGCCCGGTGTTCTGCAACTTGCCTGCAGAGTGAAGGGTTTACAGCTTGTCGGTTGGGGTGGGCAGCTTAGGGACAATGCTTCGATGTGTGCTGATACTACTTCACGGCTAAATTGTGTTAGATTAATCGTCCCCTTTCTCCGATCCGCACAGATTAAAGCCTCTCAGCGAAAACCCCGCCGGGCTGTCTGGAATTGGTAAGGGTTTATATAGGGTCAAGGATTTATGGGGCGAAACTCTCTTCAGGAAAAGGTGTTCCAAGACCCCCCAAGTACCCTTTAAAAGGGCTCTCATATTTCTAATTCGGAGGTAATTCGGGACTACCATACAGGGTAGTTGGGGGGTCTAGGTTGAGGAGGGTGAACTCCTACAGATGGTGAGCCCGAGTCGGACATTCACAAGATTCGCGTGTGCATGTGTGAACACACATGTCAATGTGTGGTTGTGCGCTAGGGGGGATAGAATAAAAGCAGCAGCCCGTGGTGGGTGCTGCAGCTGACACCTGACACACAGGAAAGGAGAACGGTTTCTAGGGGGGATGACCTGTCCCGCTGGACAGTGAACGAAGTTCATCCGTCACCCAGCGGGCGGGGAGGGAGGCGGGTGGCAGGGCGACTCGTTCCACAAGGCAGGGGGACTGTCAGGGACCGTGACCGCACAGCACACACAACACCCAGCTGACCTGTTGCAAAGGGACTGGAGGGAGATGACCTGTTCCATGGAGAGGGGAGGGAGAAAGGTTGAGGGTGGAATATCAGACCTCCGCGTCCGTGTTACGATGTACCACTATAGAGCGGGAGTGCGAATATACACGCATTCAGAATTCAGTGCTCTGGTTGCAGTTATCGAGAAGGACGGCGACAAACAAATCTTAGTACAGTCATGCTTGTGATGGTGATGGCGACGATGGTGATGATATTGGTGGTGGTGCTGCAGTGAAGATGGTGATGATCCCGATGACGGTGATTAATGTGCTGCTGATGAATATGTCATCAGTTGAAAGAAGCCCTGCGAGTGATACTCTGACATACGACTATGCACCATTTTCAAGCTTATGCAAAATTCAGCGGCTCTTCTGCGATGGCCGAAAGTATTCAGGCCATTTTCGGTCATGCCTGACCAATGCTAAACACCAAAATTGAAAAACTGAGCCCTTCCTGGTAGCGCCGCTGCGTCTCGGCCGCTGCTGCTGTTGCAGCTGCGGACCTTGAAAGACTTTGGGCTGCGCGGTAAAGGGTCGAAGTAGGCAGTGTCGCTAGAGCAGCAGCAGCAGCAGCAGCAGGTGTAGCAGGAGCAATAACAGGAGGAGCTGAGGAGCAGCAGCAGCAGCAGCAGCAGTAGCAGCAGCAGTAGCAGTAGCAGTAGCAGCAGGGGTAGGAGAAGGAGTAGGAGCAGGAGTGGCTGTAGGAGTAGGTAGTAGGGGTATAGTAAGAGTAGGAAACGGAGTAGGAGTGCACTCGCCGTCGCCTTCAGAGAGGAGTAGTAGTAGTAGTCGTCGTCGCGGTAGCACTGGGGAGAAATGTAGAAAGGATTTACACGGCATAATGTTGCTTGAAGGGTTCCGTAAAGGGTTCCTTAAAGGGTTCTATAAATGATCTGCAGGGATTTAGGGTGTAGGGCTTTTTTCTGATGACGGAGAAGACGACTGCTCATCACCGCTGCCACTCCTAATGCTATAGTTAGCCGGGATTGAAACACCATGACAGTGCACATGTTGCAAAGTCTGCGTGGCTTCTGTGAATCGCAAGCTCGAGTTTTTTTTCTGCAGGCGCTCTTTCTTCAGAGCGTCGTCGTGCAAATCTCTCTGTGCAAGTCCCCTTTCGGAGCTTCAGGAAGCTTCTCCCATGTATGGCTCACTCGCAGACTTTGGGAGTCTTGCAGCCGCATTCCTTCTTGTTGAATGTGTCGCCCCTCACAAGGTGGCCAAAAAGTCTGTCGGGATCAATAAGAGTTTCTCCGGCAATGGATAAGCGACACTTCTCTGTCGCTGCTCCACGCCAGCCCATGACGCCGACGGTGGGCGGCAACCTCAAGCAGAGAAGAAGCAGAATCAACTTCGGGCTTCGGTTTAGGGTCTCGGCCGCTATGCAAAGAGACGAGCGTCCTGCTCACCTGCAAAGGTAATATGGGGGCCTCAATACGTAGAAAAGGGTTTGGAGGTAATATTCTACCAAAATTACCAGAGGGAATCACCAAAACAGTATAGGTAATGATTAAGGCTTCTATGGCAGACAATTGAACATTCTCAACTTCTTCCACCGAGTCACTTCGGCCAAACTTTTGCCTTCGCCGCCTGCTGGTAGCTTTTCACCCAGGTCCCCTCTTTGGCCATGTTGCACAAGATTTCCTGACACTTCTCCTGAGCCTTCGTCTTTTCCATGACCACATATGCTTGCACCTCGGAATTGTCTCTCGGGCTGCACGTGGCCGCAACGCCACAGATCGGGATTATCTCCTGCCCGCCTTTCAATTCAATGTCGTGCGGCTGGCAGAGCACAAACTCGTCCTTGGAATGCCAGTAGGTCACATGGCCGGCGCAGTTCTCATACTCCAGCCCATCACAGACCTGAGTGTCGAAATACCCATCCAGAAAGTATTCAGCCTAAGCCTTACACCCTAAACCCGAAACCCTAAACCCCTAAACCCTAAACCACTAAACCCCTAAAACCCTAAACCCTTACTAAACCCAAACCCTAAACCCTAGTTGCTAGGAACCCGGACCTCGTGACAAAGCGGTCGTTCCTACGAAGATCAGTTTGCTGCTGCTGCTGATGGACGAGCTCCTGAAGTGCCGCAAATACCCAGACCTTCCAAAACCCCTTAATTAAGGAATATACCTTAAATCATATTAGGGACCCTGTTATAATTTAAGGTATATTCCTTAATTAAGGGATTTTGGAAGGTCCGGTACCTGAATCTATGAGCCTTATGGTAGATTCCTTCTTATGCATATGCAAGACGTTGTCCGTCAGCCGTAGGCCGTAGTATCACTATCTGCTTGATGTAGGCAGCGAAGGGGCGTCGTACTTTTCGCCAAGTGGGCCGGACCTTGAACCGACACCGCCCTCGTGGAATTTGGCAGTCTGGCAAGCACTTGACTCCTGGGCTTGTCGGATATGGGTTTCGGGTTTCGCTTGATATACGGGCCTTGCAAGGTATAGCAGGTATCGAATATATTAGTAGCAATAATCGTGATTACAAAAAACACCATAGCATACTTTCTTTTGTGGGTTCTTCATATAAGCACACATTACAGAAATTACAGGGACCCTACGAAGTAGTAGGTTTGGCTAGTTCAAGGTAGAAGCAACACTGAAGAATGATGCTTACTTAAAGGATCATGGGACTTGATAACCAGGGTTGCTACTAGGGTAATTATACATATGATTACTAAGAACCCCAATTCAGGTAATTGTGACCCTTTACTAAGCCCAAATGATCCTCTCATGACAGAGCCCTTATAGATCTCTTTAGGGAACCCTTTAAGGAACCGTATTCTAGATCCCTTAAAACATCCCTTTCAAGAATCTCTTACGGCGGCGCCGCCGTAAGGAACCCGGCTTACTAAGCCCCAATGATATTCACCAAGTATGTAAAGCCAGGCCGGGCATTTGGCAAAGCATGATACGCAACGAAGCTTAGGCTTTAGGGGTTTGGGCTTAGGGCTTTCGAGGTTTAGGGTGCAGGAGTTTAAGGGTTCAGGGTTTAGGAGTTTAGTTTAGGGCTATGGAGTTTTGAAGTTTATGGGTTCAGGGTTACTGTGAGCCAGCCTGCTGGCATGATCGACCGTGAAACCAGGCTCCTGCATGCTGCTAAACTAAGCCCTTCACGACTGTGCTAGCTTAATCTGACAGCTCCTTGCTCAAAGGCTTCAACATCGTGCATGGATCCCTACTGTAGCTGTACCATACAGCGTACAAGGCATCCTAGATCAATTGTTGACACGTTGACTGTCCATGGGTCTCTTGCTCCGTGGCGGCCACGGTTGTTCAAGCTAAACCCACTTCCTATGGCTTTGTCCAGCAGGCATAATGCATGTGGCTAGGTGTGAACCGGTTCCTCGATTGACAGCAGGTGATCGGACATTGTGATGGATGGTTGGGAACACTTCCTGTCAGCTAGCTCAGCGAGATGCTGTCAAAGTGACAGAGCTTGCCAGCTCGGCCCTCTCGGTGCCACGGTGGGCCCAAGTCAACCAGGCCAGGAGGGGCAATGCCTCCAGGGCGACGGTTTGCCGATTCGGACCTGGGGCTCTAATATAGAGGCCGAATAGTTAGAATCGGGGGCCATAAGGAACCCGGAACTACTATGAGTTCAGACTGGACCCGAGCCTTCAATGGTTAGTGTCAGCAGTGCAGCGGCGGTTGTTGTCCAAGCGTTAAGAAACTGGAATATTCGTTTCTCCACGCTGCTCTTGATCTAATCACTGTCCAGTCCGGTTAAACTCATCGCATCACTATTGGTCGTTGCCATGAGTGCTGCTAAGTCTACTATTTGCGAAAGGATCGGTACGACTGTATATAGTGTAGTTCCCAAACGGTCCTATGTACTGTTATGGGGGGATAATTCCCTGGATCATAATAGTAAACCCTAATATAGAAACCCTACATTCTACTATATAGGGACATAGGACCCTTTGGGGTTTTACATGCAGCAGGCCGGGATACTGGGTGTATGGCGCATACCTGCGAAATCAGCACCTAACTCTGTACGTGAGTACGGATGTAGGTATAGTAGTCAGTATGTATGTACTGCATGAATGCATGCATTCATGCATGTATGTTGGTAGGTCCATTCTACATATATACAGAATTCCTTTATGTATGTATGTATGTATGTGTATATATATATATATATATTCATTTATCTATACATACACGGATGAAAAGACGACACAGAGAGAAGGAGAGGAACGGAGATGCTTCTTGCAGATGCACTCATGCAAGTACACGACCCCGAAGCACATGCGCAAACACACACACACACACACACACACTTATGTGTATATATATATATGTATACACATACACAGACATACATGTATCATACCGACTCTGTGCATGTGAACATTTACATGCTCACATGTGCATACAATCATGTTGGTGCATACCCAGAAATGCAAACATCTACATACGGATGGGTGCACATGCTCGTATAGACTGTAGCAGCTATAGCAGCTACACACTCGCACATGCTTTGTTTCAGCCCACACCCACCTTGACGTGCAGCATGGCCATCAGCTGTGAAACATGTCTTCCCAAACTACGAGAGAGCTTGGTAAAAGTACAGCTATCGCCACGGGCCGAGCCAGAGCAGCATCAAGAATCAAGATGCTAGGACTCTGCCTGACAGCTTGTCACCTCTCACATTCCCCAAATCTGAAAACAAGTGATGCCAATGTTAAGGTCGCATCAAAAAGCGCCTTTAGGTCTCCGACCCAAACAGGCCAAAAAGGCCACAGCCCAAACTCCCAAAAAAGGCCCCTTAGGGGTTCCCTTTTCGGGTATCAAGAAGGGTTTCCATAAGGTTATAGGGGTCTTTACAAGTAGAATAAGGATTAAGGAGACATTACAAGTATACTTGTTATACATATAGAAGGAACCCCAAAAGAACAGTATTAATATTCATTCAGACCCCCCAACACCAAACCCTGATACCCTAAACCTTGACCCTAAACCCAAACCGCCGAAAAGGACAATTGAGCTCCAGGCTTGGCGAGTAGACCCCAGGTCACGGCGAAAACGAAGGTCATCATGGCTCCAGGCACGTTCTTCGGAGAAGCCAGCTAGCCAGAGGTAAGAACCCTCCATTAAAAATAGAGGTGAAAATGCAACCTAATTATGGGAAGTCTTTATTGAGGCAGCTTATGTCTGCGAACGCTGGCGTAGTCAGCACCTCACGACACATCGCCAACATTGCAGCAAAGCTCTGGGCCACAGGGCAGCAGCATTGGCAGGTCGCTTGCCCTTCCCTGCTGGCCGTCGGCCAGATACCACCATCGTCAACCTTATCCGAAACCATATCAGCATCAGGCGACAATCTCAACCAACATCATCAACCACACCATCATCAGCATTGTAATCAACCATGTTGCCGTCATTCTCGCCAGTCGCTCCAGTATCACCATCAACTTCTGTTCAACATTACCACCATCGAATATCCTTAGTTCACATAACGTTCACTACTGTTGATGTCCACATTAATGGGCATCCGGCTGGCAGTGCTGCTCAGAGCAACATCAAGCAGCAACATGAGTAGCAGAACCCCGAATTTTGGGCAACACCTTCATCACCACGGTGACCATCACCTTCAGCGTCGTCATGATCACCGTCGTTCATTGTGGGCAATCGACAGCATAGCCAATAGCATGTCGCTGAGCCATGAGCACCAGAACAACAACATTAAATATCGCTTTCGTCTTTGTCAGCATCGTAGGACAACCCTTATCCCAACGTTCTGACTCATCCTCCTCCACCGCATCATTATGCTCACCACTGCCACCCACCATGTAAGTATCACAGCAACCGTCATCTAATCTAACTCTTGACCAGTAACGATTGTCGTCACGCTCTTCATCAACAACAACGTAATCTGCTGCCATGCATCAACAACCCATGATGTTGTTACGATCGCCGCGTCTGCTATCGCCAGGATCAGCTTCAGCCACCGCATCAGCGGTGCCACTACGGGTGGCATTGCCGATAGCGGTATAGACTCTGGATGACTCCAGTACAGACATTACCACTTCCATCATTGGACCATCGTCACGGGAACAGCCATCAAAAAGATCGTCCGCGAAAGATCGGGAACAAGTCACCATGTTTGTCACCATCCTCCTTCTCGGCGTCATCACCACCATATCATGGTGTCCTGACAACTGCGGTTATCATCACTAGGGCTTTGGATACAGTACTAGCATGCTGTTCGCTTTCGGAAGCATCCGCCATATCGCTAGAGCAGCGGTGACAATCAACCTGGCCGATATCGCTGCTTTGGAATTCACCACCGTCACCCGATTATCCTCGCTTATCACAGTCTTGATGGAGCACCATCAACATCATCCACACCATCATCGTATCCAACAGTACCATGCTGATCGCCATCTTAGTTATCGTCGCGCGGTCGTTGTCATTACCGACATCATCATCATACGGTTGATGATATAAATGTCGCATTACCTTAATGGCCCTAGACTATGGGATTTAAGGTATATTCCTGATTATGGGTAATGCAGGATTTATATCATCAGCCGTACTCACGGCAGCCGCTCATGGCTCATGGCTGTAAAACAGCATGCGGCACCGAACGAGTACCGGTGAATACTTCTGGTCGGGAAGGCTTGTGACCTCGTGGCCCAAGGGCTCTATGTTGCAAGGGACAAGCTGCTGTGGCTTCAGGGTTTAACGGTTTGTGGTATAGGCCGTGCAGCACTTGTTAAACGTGCCACTAGGCTGCCCAACACAAGCCTCACTTGTCCGTACTACACTATCAACGCCCGCCCGATTGCAAGAAAAGTGCCATATGCAAACAAGTCCCTAATCACGCTTCCGAGGTGCCATGGAACACAAAGCAAGCTCCTTGCGAAGGATAGGATCACGTCACTGGACAAGAAGCTGGCACTCTCCGTGACCATGGAGACCAGCGGGCCCAGCTCCTACGGTTTTAGTGGTTTTAGGGGTTTAGGTTTAGGGTTTAGGAGTTTAGGGTCTATGTAGGCTCGTGAACTCATGCATGCCAGAACGGTTGCTTGTAACACCTCATGATCGTACCGTGGATTACCGCTGCAGTTGCATTTTCGAGACACTTCTTCGAGTGAAAATGCTATATTCTTGCATGAGAAATTACGATTTAGGATCCTAAACATCCTGACGCCCACGACCTGACAAGCTGCAACAAAGGAAGCTAAAACTTAAGTTTGGACCCGTTTGTAAAGAACCCTGTCACTTGCCTGCTTTCCCGGGGAAAGACGTACCACCAGAAGGGGCTTGTGAATTTTCAAGCAGAAACAGCCCCACACACACACAACTCCCTAAACTGGCACTGTGCACCCGAATGCACAGACTTCATGAATGCCGCCGAAGCTTTCAGAACATCGTGAATCTTCAATTAGCCACACACACACACACACCGAACTTCCTAAACTGGCCCTGCACCCACATGCACAGACTACATGAATCCCGCCCAAGCTTTAACAAGCATCGTCGCTCGCCTGTCTCAGGCCCAACGTCTGCAGGGCCTGGGACGCCTCTCGGGGGAAGGGTTCGGGGTTTAGACTATAGAGTTTGAATTGTATTCTACTATAATTCTAGTAAGGAAGCCCCCCCCCAAAAAATAGGTACTTGTTAAGGCCCCTAGATTCTACTACCGTTATAGATCCCTTATAGTACCTCTTACAGACCCCCTTTAAAGGAACCCTAGGGAACTCTATAGGTACTTAAGGCTCTCCGGCCCGAGGTTGCGGGGTTCCGGCTTTCAGGGCTGAGGGCTGCCTTTGAAGACTTCGACGCTGAGGCCGGCGGGGGCTGTTGGATTCGGGATGTGCGGCGCTTTAGGTATGTATGTATGTACAGAGGTATGTATGTAAAAGAGACAGAGAGAGACAGAGAGAGAGAGAGAGAGAGACAGAGAGAGACAGAGAGAGAGAAAGAAACAGAGAGAGAGAGAGAGAGAGAAAGAAACAGAGAGAGAGAGAGAGAGAGACAGAGAGAGAGGGTGAGGGGGAAAAAGAGAGCAGGGGAGAGAAAAGGAGAGGACCATAGATGCATCTGTCAAATGCAACCATGCAGGCACGCAACCGCCAAGCAACAGGCACAAGCACATACGACACACACACACACACAGGTAGTCACATGTTTCTGAGAGGTATCGCTTTGCTCTTGTGAAAGTAAGAAGACCATCGGACTCACTGATCCTACTCGTATCGTGCCCTGCCCTTTACTGCCCTCTGCTGCCCTTTACTGCTCTATTCTGCCTTTTGCTGCCCTTTACCTGCCCTTCACCTGCTCTTTACTGCCCTTTACTGCTGTTTACTGCCCTTTGCTGCCCTTTACTGTACTTTACTGCCTGTCACAGCCCTTTACTGCCCTCTGCTGCCCTTTACTGCATGGGGCAGTGGCTCTTAAAACGATCCGTTAGGTATCGATATCGATTCTGTATCGATTTGGGTATCGATTGCCTAGCCATATATCACACGGAAAATCTTGGCACAAATGCCGCGGCTGCACAGAAATGTCACAACAGATGATCTTCGTTGAACGTATCGCTTTTGGGTCGTCCTATTGCTTCCAAGGTAATTGGCAAGATCCGACATTCCACGGTCACCCTACTCTTAGCTAAAATTACCGAAGTTTTTACGGATTCTCACATGTCCACATATACATACAGTTAATGTGCAGATGAGTGTCTGCATAGCTTTAGACGCACATGTACAGACGCATGCTGCGGGTGAGTACACTACAGACGTACCGCACACACACACACACACACAGTTTCGGCCCCTGCCTGCGCTCGTAAACACCCCATCTGCTGCATTCTCAAACTACGACAACGCTGTCAAGAAGTGTTGGAGGCTACTGTGTCGGAGATCGTTCCCTTCCCTTCTCCCGAACGAAAAGGAGCGATGTCAACATAATTGGCCCCTACGTGCCCTTGATCCCTCCAAAAATCCCTAACCCTTGAACTTACACCTCTCTTGAGCCCTGACAACACAGAAACACACAGGATACCTAAAGCCAAACACCACCGAGTGCGCAAGACTCCCAAATATCTTTGACAATAGTCGTGTAACGGATCCGTGTGTTATACTACAGATCCTTATTCCAGCACCGCAAAAGGTGCAAAGCCGCAGCAGGGAGCCTGTACATGTATACGGAACCTTACAACCGATTTCCCCGTAAACCCAAATCGTAGCCCAAACACCCCTGACCCTAAACCAAACGTTCCATTAATACTAGAAGCGCTGAACCCTCAACAGCAGCCCAAACCCGTAAACCCTTTAAGCCCTATGAGCCATAGAAAAGCCCTTTAAGGCCTAAACCCCATATGCCTGACAAGCAGAATAAGACCTATAAGCCCTAGCTCCTAAAAGCCCTACAACCCAGGTACGGCCTACATGTGTATGTATATATGTAAAGGTATATGTATTGATTTAAACGTCTGTGTGTATACATGTATGTCTGTGTGTATACATATAAATGTACACACACACATATATATATATATACACACAATGAAACCCTAACAAACAAAGGCATTACACACACACATATATATTATATTATTATATATATATATATATATATACATATACACATTCTACGAACCCTATCTAGACCCTAGGCCCTACACGCCCTAAACCCTCGGATCCCTCAGTGGGGAAGGCCCCGAGGGCCTCAACGAGGGCGGTCAGAGACAGCTCGTCTCTTCTTGCAATGACCTCCAACCCTAAGGGTCCAAGTAGTCCTTATTTATGGTTTTTGCCCAAAATGACCCCAAAGTCCTAAAATGGGGAGTACTTGGACCCTTAGGGCAATGAGGTTAGGGATCGATAAGGCTTAGGGGTTTAATGTTTATATGGTTTAGGGTTTAGGGCTTCGGGTTTTAGGGTTCGGGTTTAGGGCTTGGGGTGTAGGCCCTGAGGTGTAGCGTTTGGGAGGAATCATTGAAACTTGTACATTACGCAGGCGTACCTCGAAGCTATTCTACACACACGTGGTATACACTGTCACGGAAGAAAGCCTGCGCAAATTCCGCAGCTTGTCAGGCGTGTTTCCACAGAAAGGAAGAAGCAAAACAGTTCTGAGATCCTTACAATGAATGCTGTCCCCGCCGTAAGAGACTTCTGCAGCTTGTTTTGTGGCGTGCGGCAAAGATGGGCTTCTGAACTGTTAACTTCATTTGCGCCACATCAGGTACCAGGGGGTCGGGGCAGAGGCGCTGACGTTATAGTGAGTGGTGACACAGGATGCTGAATGCGGCACTGAGATGTGTGTGTGTGTGTATCTATATATGTGTTTACATACATACAGACATAAAGAGTATGTGCGTGTATATATATATGTAGTTATTATGTATACAAACATATATGTATATAAATATATATGTATATAGATATATATGCACACTCCAGTACCCCCTAAATCCAGAGACCTGCCTCGTGTGCCAGCTTCTGCAAACGATCGTCGTGAATGCTTGGGCTGAGATGGCCCACTTGTCGTAGCCTTGTAGGTGCTTGGGGCTTTCGGTCTTAATCAGTTGTTTCGGGAAGTGTGGTTGGAAGTGATGGTCTGGGGGGTCATTGCTTTGAGGCTTGGGTTAAGCGTCTTGGGTTTCAAGTTCCGGGCACGAGGGTGTTCGGGGTTATGGAAGAAACCCGAACATGTACAGGGGGCCTTAAGAAGTAGAATTGGGTTTGGGGGTATATTGTACTATAGTTACTATAGTTATGATAAGGAACGCCGAAAACCCTATTCTAACTATATTAAGGCCCCTACATTACAGTACCCTTTTAGATCCCTTACAGACCCCTTTAAAGGAACCCTAGCCTAAATAGCGTGCTTCGGTTACCGTAACTTCTGACCCGAGGTCCCGAGCCTACAAAACCGGGAATCCAGGAAAAGGCAACTACCACAATCAAAGGGGAAAAGGAGGGACCCTTAATGGGGACCCCTACCCTGTAATGGGCTATATAATAAGTATAAATAGCTATATCAAGGGTATATACATAGCGGTCCTTATCAAGGGTCCCTCCTTTACCCTTGGACACAATTGGTCTATATAATAAGGATCCTACCATTTAAGGTATCATATGAGGGTTCCCGATTTTCGGAAACTTCCATATATATAGAAGGCTTGAATGAGATCCGGGCGGGTTGCGTGGTGAGAGATGCTGGAGCCATGTCCCATGTTAACTATCAGAAACGCACGCGCAAATCTCTCAACAGAGTTGTGAGCCGAGCTTGATGCCTTCTGACTTTCTGCAATTAGCCTGTGCTGAAACGTTGCCTGCAATACACCCCGTGCTCCGGTCCCTATACTTTGTCAGACTTCTACCATATACAAGATCGACAAAGCATGGGGAGAATGGAGGGCCTGAATAGGGCTTGCGGGTTAGTCCTGCAGTCTAGCTAGATTTAGATTAGATAAGAAGTACAATAGGTACTCTTACTGATTGTTTGGTACCTATATCATTGGAGCCTTTCCGAGCCACCCCGTCCCCATCTCGAGCAGCATCTCAGGTTGGCACAGGTCCAGGTGCTCTCGCAAACTTCCATTTGCAGCCGACACTTCGTAGTGCCTGTCGCGACAGGCGGGCATAGGGCTACAAGCTCGGTTGAAAGCTGTAGTTCCGATTCTTGGGCAAACCAATTTTGTATTTAGGACCCTGTAAGGTCCCAAAAAGAACTACAATGGAGACCATGTATAGGTATAGCTGGAAATGTTCATGAAGCCATGATTTCGAGCTTGTTGCTTAGAGGGTTAAGTTATCACATTTCCACCTCCTAACCGCATTTCCTGATTGTTGACATTTGGAAGTCGAGAATGTGCACCCTCACTGAACCCACCCGGAAACCATTCATCGATTCACCTGGAAATCCACAAGCACTGCATTTGCTGCACCCACACCCTGAATTGAGCTTGCAACCCCCAATGGCCCGAATTTCAAATCTGGAACACACGCTGCTTTCATTCGATGAGGCTTTTTGAAAGACCCCTATGAGAAAATATATCCTTTATACCATAAAGGTTCCTCTAAAGGGATCAGGTTCTACCTCACTTGTCCTGCAGCGAGGGCTCGCCACCCCTAGCCCTATTTAAATCCTGTAAACTTAGGGTTTAGGGTTTAGGGACCCTAAACCCCAAGCCCTGAGCCCCCGGTAAGCCTTGTAAAACCTAAGCCCGTAGCAAACCTGAAACCGCCCGGCCGCCAACCTCTAAACTCCAAACTTCAAACTTTCTTTCCCTAACCCCTGAACCCTAAACCCTAAAACCTAAACCCCTAAACCCTAAACCCCAAGCCCTACTAAATCCCTAAACCCTAAACCCTATAAGCACTGAAACCCTAAACCCCCAAACCCCAAACCCTAAGCCATACTAAAGCCCTATAGCCCCTAAACCCTCTAAGCACTGAAACCCTAAAATTCCAAACCCCAAACAGACTTTGAGCCGATCCCTGGACCTTAAATCCTGACCCTAAACCCTCCGGAGCAAATCCTACACTCCTTAGCCCGACGTTAGGTTCATCCCTCATCGCCAGTTCTGCTTTCCAAAAACGGCCCACTTAAAGCTGTCATTTATCCAAGAAGTTCAATCAAGTAACGACTGTGGATCTTACCCGTTTACGTTTTGAGAATAGGTCGAAGACAACGCGTCCCCGATTCCTACTCTAATCACTAATCATACGCTTTACCTGATAAAACTGTTCAACTCTAGCTATCCTGAGGGAAACTTCGGAGGGAACCGACTACTAGATGGTTCGACTAGTCTTTCGCGCCTATACCCACGCATGACGAACGATTTGCACGTCGGTACCGCTGCGGGCCTTCATCAGAGTTTCCTCTGACTTGGCCCTTTGCAGGCATAGTTGACAATCTTTGGGGTCCTAACACACATGCTCTTTCTCAAACTTCCCAATTGATTGGTAGTTTGCTGGCGCAAAAAAATCCCAGCAGTCACCTTCATTGCGCACAGAGGTTTCAGCGCCCCCTAAATCTCACTAGCATACGTCAAGCAAATCGTGGGCGAGGCCCAACTTGCGAGCAAAGCACAAAAACTTCGTGGGGGGAAGGCCCTAGATTTTCGAGAAGGAGGCCCAAAACTCGAAGTTGTCAGCAACCCGGTTTAGGGTTTAGGGTTTTCTGTTTTATAAACCGACCTACAAGCCTAACCCCTACCGGCCCCGGACCATGAACCCTAAATTCGGAGAACCCTGCGCCGGAGAGGCCTCAGAAGCTGTGAGGCAGAGGAAAAGCTTTCGGAGCCATCGCGACCTCGGGCTGCTAATCTTCTAGAGGTGCGCGGAGTCTACTTCAAGGATCATGGGACTTAGTAAGTATGTTTATAGGTACCTTACTTGGCGTTAAAAGTAGCTATAAGCATGGCTACCCTAGCAGTGACCCTAGTTATTGAGTCCCATGATCCGTTAAGTGGGGTTTAGGATTAAGGGTGCCGGGTCTAGGGATTCGCGTTTAGAGTTCAGGATTGGGTTCTGGGTGTAGGGTATCGGGCTTCTGGGATTCAGGGCTCAAGGGTCTGTGAACCTTAATCTCGGGATTACCCTAAACCCCCAGCATGCTAAAGCCCTACAGCCCTTCACGCCCTAAACCAAACTAAGTTTAAACCCTGAACCCATAAGTCCTCAAAAATCCTTGTAGAACACTCAAAGGAACCCTTCAGGGAACCCTGAGAGGAGTATTGGGTTTAGTGATCTACTTTCCGGCTCGGCTAGCAAAGTTCGCGTTCCTGAAGGTTGCACGGGTCTCGTGACTCAGAATTAGGCTTTAAAGTAAGCAAGGAGAAACAAATAGAAACAAGTATCAACTCGTATTTCATAATTGGATAATTCCTGTCAGGAACAAGTCCCAATCAGTAACAAAGCATGGCTCTCCGTAACACGGCTCACAGTGAGCCCGTCTATTTGAACTGTTGCCGTAAAGGGACAGCAACTTTGGCAAAAAGGAACCAGGATTTCCTCTGAAATCGTGAGCCTTACACTTGCTTTAGGGTTTAGGGTTTGGTGTGTAGGGTCTGAGAATTTAGGGGTTTAGGTTTAGGGTCCAGGGGTTTAGGGGTTTTAGGGCTTAGGAGCTTAGGGTCCAAGAGTCGCCCCCACCATCCACCTGCTGTGAGGGCACGCGTGGGAGCAGCCTTTGGCGCTGCCACAGTTGCTTCCGAAACCGTGGGGGCTGGCGTCATCGGGGTCCTCTCTGCCAACGAGACCTGCGTAGTCATCACCAAAGTGTGGCCTGTTGCCCAACTTGAAGACACCGACGAAGCCTGGTGGAGGGTTTAGGGGTTGAGAGGTTTAGAGAGGAAAACCTGTGTTTCGGGATCTTCGTCTCTGGAATTCTAAGGGACCACAGCAGGCCATGATGTCGTCAACCTTCGAGTTTCGTCAACCTTCGGGTTGCAACTGCTGCAGTCGTTTCCGGATGCACTTAGATAACCCGAAACCCTAAGCCCTAAACCCTAACCCCTAAACCCTAAACCCCTAAACCTCTAAACCCCTAAACCCTAAGCCCTAAGCCCTACCTGGACTTCCAGAAGGGCCAATAAATTAGCCAAGGCTGTATAGGCCCCTGATCTTATCCGTGAATAGCCTACACCCCAAATTTAGCCCTAACGCCTGATTATGACTTTCGAGGGCTATTCGTGGGTTGAGATTGCAGCAAGAGCCTTGTGTGCCGGGCAATGCCAGGTTTGTGGCTCCGAGTCGCCACAGTTTGTGCATGACACAGTCAATCATCAAACTCGACATGTCGGGACTCGATATTCATGTTAAGATAGTCTTGGAGAGCATTTTTCCATTCGAGCACTGGCCTTTGTCGATGGACAAGCACGAGTCACGGGCCAATCGGCGGCTGAAGCTCGTCAAAGTGTGCCCCAGTGCTTCCAAGATGCAGAATGCAGGATTCAATCTTGTTGCATCTGCATAAATGCATAAACGAAGCTGCTCCTATCCGTCATTTGTGCTCAAAGGTCCGGGGTCCTGATTTTAGGCGGAAGCTATGGGGGATAGGTTGCTGGAGAAGCTGTTGGAATCCCGCCCACGGCTGGAGCGAGATGTTCGTGATCTAGGCTTCTGCCCCAGGTCTATCTAGACGACACATGTTTGTTGCCCGGTGCATCTCAGGATAATTACCCAATGCACAAATCCTTTAGGATGTCTCAGGTCTCTGGGACATGCCCTCTTCCTTTTGGTTCGATGTCGTTCTTGTCATGTACCCGGATGCCAAGGCAGGGTGTTGTCAGAACCTAGGAACTTGAGCTCGGTACGATATCCCTGAAGGAGACTGAGCTCACCATACGCAGAGTTGAAGAGATAGTGCAAAATTACCGAAGCTTGGATTGTATGTTGGGAGATCCCAAAACTCGAATCTTCAACCTACCGGCTACTCTAAGGAAACATGGGTGTTGCTCGCCATTTGGCCCGGAAAATTCGGAGGAAATGTTGCTTGGGTTGCACTCCACAGATCTGCTGCTGTCATTACATTCTCCACAAACCAACAATGATGCATACAAGTACATGCAACCCTGAGGTCACGAACCGGAGCCTTAGCTTTATTATACTTGGGGCGGCTGGTGTGTGTGTGTGTGTGTGTGCTCAATCGGAGGCTGTATTGAACGTTGACGCACATGTGTGAGATCCAAGGTGATATCGTCGTCAGCGGATGGTGAGATGTCGGGCTCAGCCAGCTCAGGGGACCGCTGAAGCATCGAAGCACCTGTGCCGGAGCAGAGTGTAGTGATTGTGCCGAAGCTTCTATAGATTCAGCTGACAGCTTTCGTGCAAACGGCTGGAAATGTGCAAGTGCATGCTCATGAGTGCTCGGAGCTGTGGTGGCCATATAGGAATGTCGCCCCAGTGTGTATGCATGCTGTGTGCAGGTACCTGCTCATCCTACGATGGCTGCTGAGCATTGACATCTATGTGATAGCCCTGGCCTCATCGAAGTCGCCAGTGCAGCCAATTTATCCTGCTGGATTGATAGTAGAGCAGCATGCAGATTGTTTGATGTCGTGCTGTATGCTTCTGCGAAAGGTGATATAAACTTGTTCGGGGCTCAATGATAACAGCAAGGCAGCCCGATTAGTGTAGTGCAGGAGGCATCAGAAACATGGCGCGAGAGTCCCTAGCCGGTTTGGCGGAGCGGTGGGAGGCCGATGAGGTCTTACGCCGACGTATGCTTGACCACCACGTCCTTATGCAGTGGAAGGATCCTGCTAGGACAGGAACCGCAAGCATGCTACATGCCAAACTGAATTATTTGGTCCTCAAGCCCCTCTACGAGCTGTGGACTGCATCCTGGGATCAACCCAGAACCCCCAGCCTTCCAGCAATCAGGAAGGAGGCCCCGAGTTATGTTCACGTTGGCCATGTCATGTGTGTATGAGAGAGTGAGTGTGTGGGTGAAAACACATATACATATACATATACATATACATATACATGTACATATACATATACATATACATATACATATACATATACATATACATATACATATACATATACATGTACATACATCTCTCTCTCTCTCTGTCTGAATGTTGTGCTCGGTGTGTGAAAAGTATTGTACTTGTCTTTGCTATCGGGTCTTGTGGACTGGAGGTGCTGAAACTCCGATACCTTCTTCACGTTCCTGACCCGAAGGGCCCTGGTTTGGTATGCGATTCGTGGGGCATCCGCAAGCACTGCTCGCTTTTCATTCGGAGGATTGGGTCGACTTCCCGGAGCCACGAGACTTGCCAGACTAGGGACTATTGTGGGTTCATGTTGTAGAAACATAGGTTGGGCACTAAGAGTGGTAGCAAAGGATCCAGACCTTCGCGAGCTCAAGCGCATCCTCTTGGCGGCCTGGTTCCCCGACAGGCTTCATGAGCTTGATCGGCCGGAAGCCGTGTCTTGGACATTCGTGGGGGGATTCGTGCTTTGAGTGTGCTTGGTGCCCTAGCTGCTGGGATAAGGATGCTCCGGAGCCTGCTGGCGATGGAGAGGATTACGATCTTGAGGAGAGTGGTTTGGAGGCGGAAGAGGATCAAGATCCTGTAGCAGAAGAGGCTGAGGAGGTTGCAAGCCTCCCCGAGGAGCCTGATGCTGAGGAGGTTGCAAGCCTCCCCGAGGAGCCTGATGTTGCAGGCGAAGCCATGGAGGTGGATGGTGCAGGCGATGGCCTGAACGTCGATGGAGTGCCGACCGTGGATGATGTGATGGTGCTGTCCGATGAAGAAACCAACACTCCACCACATAAGCCAATGAGAATGCATTCTCTTTCTGGCTCCAAGCTTGATGTGCCTGTGGGTTCCCGACTTCAGCTGCTGAAGATGCAGCTTGATGCTGTGAAGTGATTCGGCTACATTATGTACACATAAGATGTTGCAGGCTTTCAGGTTTATAAACATGATGTGCCATCCCAGGAAGATTCGCTCTGCCAGAACAGCATCTTCTCAAGGCAGCTGCAGTGCTGCATTGGGTTGATATGTTTCTTGAGCACCGTGTGTCGTGGCCCTTGTAAACAAGCTCGTGTTTGGCCCTTGTAAATTAAGGTATGATGGACATTGCGGATACCCTGCCGTATGATGCGGAAGCTGTTGCTGCAGAGGCCTCGAGGCCTTCGGAAATTGTCATCGATGATGGCAATGTGGTGGAGGCTCTGGAAAGGCCTGAAGGGGACTCGCCCCCAGAGCCTTCCCAGGACACCCGTGCTGTGGTAGAGCCTGCCGATGACTCGGCCACGCCCGAGTCTTCCCATGTCACCCCTGTTGCTGTTGTTGGCACAGAGGCTGCTGGTGACATGACCGTGCCCGAGTCTTCCGATGTCACCCCTGTTGCTGTTGTTGGCGCAAAGGCTGCTGGTGACACGACCGTGCCCGAGTCTTCCGATGTCACCCTCGTTATGGTAGAGACCCCATTGACAGAAGCTCACGGCCCCGAGGATGTGTCCAGGTCTTCTGCTGTTGAGTGTGATGTGGCTGCCGCTGTGACAGAGGATGCTGAGGGCTCACAGGCTGTGGGGCAGCCGGCTACAGAGGTTGGAGACGATGTCACTGGCCCCGCATGCCCCAAGCCGCTAAAGAAACGTGTTCCCAACCCCCACTACATCCGATTGAAGAAGTACTTGCACGAGGCAGGAAAGAATTCTGGTATGGGCATGCTATTGGCTATTGTGTTGTAGGTTGTAGATAGCTCCAGCAATTCTTTTGAGTTCCTTTTCGGCCAGGTGGTTGTGTCCAAGCAGAACCAGGATGCAATGCAAAAGACATTGAAAGAGGAAGCAGAGAAGGAGAAAGAAGCCAAGAAGGCAGCGAAGGCTGCAGCAACCGAAGCCAAGAAAGCAAAAAAAGAAGCCAAGGCTGCGGCCAAGGCTGCAGCCAAGGCTGCCGCCAAGGCTGCAAAGGAAGCAAAGCCAAAGCGCAAACCTGGGCGGCCACGCAAGGATGAAAGTGTGGCCAGGTCTGCTGACGAGGCTGTGCCCAAGCATGATGTAGAGCAGCCGGTGCCGGCCCCCAAGGGCAAAGCCAGCAAGAGCAAAGGGTCGGCCAATCCGACCAAGAAGTGCAAGCAGCCCAGGGAGCAGGCCGAATCGGGCCCCAAGCCCAAGGCAAAGGCTAAGGGGAAGGGCAAAAGATTGCGAGCAGCAGAGCCTGCCGAGCCGATTGCCCCAGTTGCAGACCAGCAGCTTGTCGAGCCGATGCCGGTAGCACGTGAGGCTGCTGAGAGCGAGCCGATTGCCCCAGTTGCAGACCACCAGCTTGTCGAGCCGGTGCCGGTACCAGGTGAGGCTGCTGAGAGCGAGCCCATTGCCCCAGTTGCAAACCAGCCGATGCCGGCAGCAGGTGAGGCTGCTGAAAGCGAGCCGATTGCCCCAGTCGCAGACCAGCTTGGTGAGCCGATGCCGGCAGCACGTGAGGATGCCGCTGAGAAGCGGCGGCGAATGGGCTGTGGCAGAAAGAAGCACCCGGAGTTGGCAGATCTACCATTGTTTGAGTACGCCGAGCTGAGTGTTTACTGGACTAGAGTTGGGGTGGGCATCAAAGTCAAAGAAGGAGCACTCCAGAAGAAGACACAGGATGGGTGGGTATGTATGGTATGTTTCTGTGTGGTAGTCATCTTGCCTGTTCATCATTCTCATGTTGCCGACCTGGCCCCATGCGACAGGTGTTCTACGTCAGCAACAAGCAGCTGTCTATGCAGGAGAACATTGACTTCGCAATTTCAATGGACACTCCTTTTGCAAACAGTTCTAGGTAGATTAGGTCCGGTGCTGCACCTGAGATGTGAAATGATCTGAGGCTAAGATCGTGGAGGTGAACCTGGGCGACTACGCTGGGGTTGCAGATATCCTGCAGGAGAAGAAGAATATCTTCATGGGCAACAGCTGATCATGAGGGCTGGCCGATGCAATCAGGTGCAAGTGTTTTCTACACGCACCCTGACAGGTGTTTTTTTTGCATGCAGAAATGATTTAATTTTGGCACAATGGGAGCCTCTAGCGCATCTTTAACAGAAGTGTTCGTGCTCTCTTCCAGTGTGTGTCTTGCACGTATGCATGCTAAAGCATGGCATCTGCATGTGATGATTATGACCCGTGTGATGAGTGGCTGAAAGGATTGCATTCTTGCATGCTTCAGCAACGGTGCATCTGCAGTCTGCAAGACTTGCTCTATTGCATCACACCCGAGCGCCCCTATCCCCCTACCAAGAAGTCGAAATTCGCCCAGGTCTCATGCCGCTCCTCGTCCAGGCCGCGAAGTTCGGAGTCTCGCTCCGCCGCGATCGAGGTCAGCCCACCCAAGCAGGGATTGTAGGTTTTGTTCGTTCAAACTTGCATGGGCTCTGGAACTACAATAGGCTATATGGGGTTTACTTCGAGTTCTTGTAGTGTCTCTTGTGGGGCCCGAGTGGGATTTTGAGGGATGTCATGTAATATTGGCCACTTATAAGACGGTTGCTTCGGGTTCTAATGGGCATTATGATTACAGGCTATAGAGATAGGATGGCTCGGGTTGTTACACCACCCTCTAACGATCGAGCGACTGCTGACCCTTGTAATCAACAAATACACATGCAAGCCCCAGCCCCCGCCGCTAGATAGAACCCTATACACCCCTATGACCCTATACATCGCTGCAAGTAGAGGATGGCTGTTCCGCTTTGGGCCATGATTTGGGGTTTCTCGGTTCTGGGCCTTGATTTGTATTGTTGGGTTTCGAGCTCTTCTAGTGTTTGTTGTGTGGCTCGAGCGGGACTTTGAGGGATGTTATTTACGGGGCTCATAAGACAACTTAAGTTGTTTTAGTTGTAAGTCTATATAGTTACACAGATACTTTGGCTCAGGTTTGGATTGGCTCGGGATTGACAAGGAGCTGCATATGTGCACATGATACATATCTACATATATATACTATGAACAGTGGGTGGGGCTACTGTAAGATGATTCATCTCTGCAGGTATTTTTGGATAGGGTTGGATTCAAGGCTGTGGGAATTACTCTACGTGGTTAGGAACCACGAAACCTAAAATAGATTCCTTTAAGTATGCCTGCCTTGCCCCTGCAATTCTTACAATTAACACAAAGGCACACAACCCCAACCCCGCACATAAGCCCCAAACATCCCGTAAAACCCTATATCGCTACAAGTACGGGATGGCGGTTCCCTTCCCAGCTCTGGGCTTTATATACCTTGTTGTACTTAAACCCACAAAACCCAAGCAACCCAAGCCGCCCCCCAAAGCTTGATGTTGTTCAGATTCAGATCCAAAAGCTAGGAAGAAGCCTCCGAAGTTCCTGGCAAGCCCCATGCAAACCCCTCGAGTCAGTGGCTTTCGGGTGCCCTGTGTCTCCATAGCCGAATCATGTACAATACGGTTGATGATATCTTTCCTGCATTACTTTAATGGCCCTAGGCTATGAGAATTATGGTATATTCCTTACTATGGGTAATGCAGGATTGGTAGCATCAGCCGTATTCAAAGTAGTATGTTCGTTTGCTTTTGGGGTGTATAGAAATGTGGTGGTCGTACTAGTCGCACAGTGATGATGCCCGTAATAATAGTAAGGATCGTACACCCTACAAGCCTCCCAAAAAGCCCGGCCACCGGAACGGTGCTGTTCATGGAGCTCCACCACCAGATTCTCGTCTGCCCCGGCATGTGCAAGGCTCCAGCAGCAGAGGCTCTCCTTTTGTGGGTCGTGGCAACGGATTTCAAGGATTTGAAGAAGATGTTAGCTGCTTTTGCACTTCCTAGATATTCGCTGGAGGGTTGATCGCATATGCACGCCTGTAGTGAACCTTGCATGGGCCCTAAAACTCGCGACTGCCGCCATGGTCCTACCCTGTGAAGTGCCCTTGGTTGTTAAGCGGCTTGCTGCTTTGGGAGCCCCAAAGGTGGCTAGGCTTTTGTAACCAGTCCTTGTGTAGTCCAGATGAACATAGCTAGTGGGGGCAATGTGAGCTGAGGCTTTCATACTTCTAGTTCTTCTGACGACGTGCTTGGAACACGTGAATCTTCATGGCCGCCAGTACGATACCGTCGAGCTGTTTGCTGGTGCTGCTCGAGTAAGTGCTGCATTCAGGATGATTGGTTGTAGCAGTGCAGCACTCGATGATTTGTATGATGGTGTGGTGAAGCGGAAGGGTGCCATGAACATCATGACAGATGCTGGTTTCGTGTCCCCTGGCCAAACACACAGCATCCTGATGTGTGCTTGGGATTCGATACCTTCGCTGCTTCCATTCCTGATCGTTTGTGCCAGACTAGCTGAGGCTCGCCATCATCTGCTTGCTGCGAGCTAAACTAGACAACAGCATCGTGCTCGTGGCAGTGTGCTGTTCCTCGTGGGTGTTGTGTGCACGCGCAACTACAGGGAGGTCTCCAGATCATCCCATGGGCAACGAGTCTTATCCCAAGGTGGTGGCAGCGAACGAACTTGTCAGTCGTGTTTGCCTGCTGTTACAGCTGTCTACAGCTGTGGGTTCAACTTGGTTACTTGAACAACCTGGGTCTTCGCTGATATTCGGCCACGATCGTCTGAAACAGATGCTTCGAAGCTTTCAGGATGTGTCGGTGAGAGAGTCTTGTCTCAATATCATGATCCCTCGAGATCAACTTGTGCTAAACTATTTGTCGTGCTTGTCCTGCTGTTGTCCTACTGCATGTGTGGTCTCTGATCCTTGCTGAGTCCGGCAACTGTTGGCTCAGGTATGGAAACAGCGATTCTGGATGAAGCACTACAAATCCCCGACGGCCAAGAGCACGCTGCTGTGGAGCAACAGTGCAGTTGTTTCACGATTCGACTTGGGCCCATTATCCAGATCGCAACTGAAGTCTTCTGTTCGTACTACAGATCGTTGGGTGAATGGTGCAGGGCGCAAATGCTTCAAGGGCAACAAGAATCTACGGGGAACACAGCTTCTTGATCTCAACTGGCCCTAGTGTGTTGAGCTGAAAATCATTCGAGTGTATGAGAAGCACGCATACCCTGAAACCGACCCAGTGCAGCATCTATGTAAGGACATACACTGTACACTTTGCCCGGAAGATCGTTCGATTGGCCCCCATGCTGTTGGACTCCGATACCAAAGACTGGCTCCAGGTGTCTTGAATGTATACTCATGTGGTTTGTGGTGTTCGTTTGTTAACCTTCCCCGGCCTCCAAATAAGAAATGCGAGCAAGCCAACCAGGTCGAGGAGATGCAAACCATCCAGGCCCTGTTCGAGGAGCTTCGCTACGACGATGTTTGGGATGATGCAGGTGTTCGTTCTGCACTTCGCTATGTCAGGGGCTCTAAGTCCTTGCTGCTGCCTGAAGAACTGAGGCCTCTGGTTCCCCGATCATTATAAACCACTGGTTTGCAGCTTGTGTTGCCTTAAAGGGGGTTTGGAGCTCATAGGCAGCCACATTCCGTCATCAGTGTCAGGAATTGTAGAGCGTAGGGAAGGCGTAAATACGCGTACAAAAGGCGTAAAACGGCGTAGGAGCTGTACCCCGTAGGCCCCCGTAGGCCCCCGTAGGCAAAGTCTGGCCTCAACGCTGCAATCCTTGCATGCAGCGCTCGGCAGCTTGCTCAAGATCCTGGGCTGTGGCCAAAGGGTGTGTTGCAGAGGCTTCAAAATCGTGGACGAGTAGCATTCATTAGCATTCCTCAATCCTGAAGAGCCCAAAACCAGCAAAGGAATCCAACAAACCCGACAGAGGTCTACGTCAAATACCCACCTCGTCTGTGGTATGCGAGGACTGTCAAAAGTAGTGCAGCCGCTAAACTACATTTGACCACCCAGGATGTCTCCCTAGAACCTCGATGACCCCCCAAAATGCTGCGACACCTCGCCCCGTGGGCCCTCGTAGCCAGCCGTAGGCTCCCTAAACTCCGTAAAACCCAGGAACCTAGGCCTCCGTAGCCAGCCGTAGCCTCCCTAAACTCCGTAAAACCCAGGAGAAAGCACCCTACACCTCGCCCAGTGGGCCCCGTAGCCAGCCGTAGGCTCCCTAAACTCCGTAAAAATCAGGAACCTTGGCCTCCGTAGCCAGCCGTAGCCTCCCTAACTCCGTAAAAATCAGGAAAAAACACCCTACACCTCGCCCCGTGGGCCCCAAGCGAATAGCTCTAGCTCTAGAGCAGGCGGTGCCCAAACGCAACCCCCCCATTCTCGAGATTTCCAGCGGGTAGTAGCCGGCAAAACAGCTCTGTCTCTCTGAGGGCCCAGGCTCGGCTGGCCCGAGGATGTTCGATGAAGAAGTAGCCGCCTGCATTTGCAATCTTCTCGGCCAGGCCTAACGTGAATTGCCACCAGCAGTTCCCTAAACTCCGTAAAACCCCAGGAACCTATAGGCCTCCGTAGCCAGCCGTAGCCTCCCTAAAACTCTGCAAAACCCAGGAAAAAACACCCTACACCTCGCCTCGTGGGCCCCCGTGGCTAGGCTCCCGCAAAGTTTTCCAAAACCAGTAATATACACTCTACACCTCGCCCGATTCTCAGAAGCTGCTTCTGCAACAGCCTCTACATTTCCACTGCCCGAACTGCAAACCCTTCCACTCAGCAGCTGCAGAATAAATAAGGTCCCCAGGGTATAGTAAGACAACAGTATATGTTAAACGTATGTGTATATGTGTGCTTGGCTGTAGATCACATTGGAATGTGTTCCGAGTCTGCTGTGAGGAAGGCTATTAATTAGTAGCAATTAATAATTGCATCACTCCAAGACTATGCAAGAGTGACAGCAGACAAAAGCCCTTGTACGTTGGCAAACTGCATTGCGACTGCTACGTGCCTCTGGTTCGTCTAGGCACAGGATGGAGATGTCCACGATGCCACTGGGGTTCGAGATTTTGCCTGGGCTTTTCGGTGCTCTGAAACCGAGCTGTGATGTCCCCGAAGCCGGTTCTCTCCGACCCTATGTCGTTGCCCTCCCGTGAGTTTTCTTCGGCAACCTTGCAAGAGGGCCTCAAGACTCTTGATTTCCAGCAAATCAAGCAGGAATCGAGTGAGGCGCTTGATGCCAGGATGCAGGACGTGTGAACAATCACCTCTATATAAAGTGTTGCACATTGGGTAGATACACAAAGGGCCCCTGTATGCACACTTCGACAGGAACTGGAGGCCTTGATCCTGAAGGAAGAGGCTGCTGCAAGCAGCAGTGAGCCTCCTACGACTGCCAAAGAGCTCGCGCCCACTCAGCCTAGCACCCCAGGCCCAAGTCTCCTGAATGCCACCCCCAAGTCCTCGGTGATTCACTCGGGCCCCAAGAAGAAGCTTCGATTGCAATCCCCGCAAGAGATCCGAAAGAACTTGTTCGAGAACAGCCCTGGAAGCACAATTCCCGATTGGGTGTTGGAGGAGGCTGCTGGGTGTCTTATGGAGAGTGGTGATGCTCCTGCTAAAGTTAGGGAGTCCTTGATCCGGGAGGGCTCGTACGAGGATGCAATCGATGACTGCATCGACGAGGATCTTGCAAAGGCCCATAGCTCTGGTACTGCATTTGTTCGATTCGGTTGAGTGGAACTGAAAGCTTTGCTTCAATACTCTATCAGTGCATGGTTTCCTTGCTAATGGCAGGCTTTCGCGGCCATCCATGTTAATGATCCGTACCTGCCCTATGTGACGGTGATGGATGGGTCAGGGGAGGCCAAGGCAGCCAGTGACAAAGCCGATGGGGCTTCGGATGTTTCTACGTGCACAGCTGGGTTCTCTTATGAGGAGAAGATAGCTATGGAAGCACGCTGTAGCAAGCTGCTTGACCAGACTGCCAGGCTTGCTGAGTTCTTGAAAGACCGAGACTCTATGATCCTCATGTTACGAGAGGAGTTGGAGTCGCAGAAGACAATGATTAAGAACTTGCAAGCCCAAGCAGCACCGGCCCCTGCCGCAGCTGCCACAGCAGCCGCACGTGCACCCGACACCGAGCCCGATGCACCTGCTAGTGTCGTGAAGTTTCAGGACCTAGATGAGAAGCAAAAGGAGGCTGCACGGGCCAAGTTGAGGCGGTTCTGTCAGCGCAAAGCTGATGGAACACTGAATGTGCCTTTAGAGGTACATAATCAATGGAAGGAGGCTGGAACCGGGCGTGACAGACTTCTGCAGCTTTTTGTCGGGGTCAACTTCGACCGCGACCCTTCACTGCAATCTTCAAGCCCTCTCCCTGCAACCCACCATAACCTGCAATTGAAACCTTTGGATGCTTAGGAGAAAATGCTCCGACAGATCAGCCTGGAGAACTCCAAGGCCAAGGAAATGCAGCTGAGCATCAAGGGGAACTTCTACACGGAGGAGCAGCTCAAGGATGACTTCAAACTCCCGGAGTCGCTGGTCTGAAGTGCACATAGTCCTCTGGAGTAACCTTCGTTGGTTTTCATTCTGGAGGGAAGAGGATCTGGCTATAAACTACTTGAGCTCATGGGTAGTGACCGAATAGCAGCCTGGCTTAGGGCCTTCGGGTTTTGGATTCAGAACCATGCAATCCTATATAACCTATTCGGGATCCACTGCGGGGTTGAGGCTCTGGGACTAGGGTCGCAAGTGAGTTGTTGAAATTTCAATATGAGCGGCTGTATGCCTGTGTAGCAACTGGCCTTTGGTCTGTTGGTAAGACGGCTAGTGGTTTATGAGGGTTATGGGTTTATAAGGTTTAGGGTTGGATGGAGGCCCGAAGGTCATAGCAAATCCCGATAGCTTTTGAGCGCATGGTTTCTGTGTTGATGAAGCCAGACAACAACATTCTGCAAGATGTTGCATTCCACTGGAGCCATGACTCCTTACAATGATTGTGTTTAACACCCCGAATCTAAGCACAAACCGCGGCCCTGTCGCCTTGAGACTATTGTGATTACGACTTGTGCTGCTGCTGCTGCTGTTGCTTCTATATGCCCCGAACAGAGTGGAGTCTATAACCTTGACCCCTACCATATGTATACCTACCGCTACTCTACTACGACTTCTACTACTACTACTACTACTACTACTACTACTACTACTACTACTACTACTACTACTACTACTACTACTACTACTACTACTACTACTAGCAACTAGCACGAGTACTAGTACTAGTACTAGTATTGGTACCAGTACCAATACTAGTACTAGTACTGGTACTGCCACTGCCACTGCCACTGTTACTACGACTATTGCTGGGACTACTACTAAATCTCCTACTACCACTACCGCTACTATACCCCAGAGCCCCTTGCTAAACCTCCAGCTTTCAGTCAGGTCCCGCATCAATGAGATCAAGCTCTTCTGCCAGAAGCATCCAAAGTTCCAGCGGTACCTTGGAATGGAGATCAATAGTCTTATGCAAACTGCTCCGGGGTAGCTTTCTACTCTTAGGCGGGACATCTACAACGACAAGATTGTCAAGTACTGGTATGAGGAGGAGACCTCGGCAATGATGTCGGCTACGGAACGCATGGAGTACAAGGATTCGACAACGGTGCAGGCCGGTGTCGATGTGGACGCTGATGGGTTTGCGACAATGGGCCATGGCATGGACTTCGACCTCGACTTTCGAGGTATGGGGCCTGAGATGCCTGGGTCCTCGACCGATGTGCCAATGCTTGCTCCGGCTGGGAAGGGAGCTGGCAAGCAAGGTCCGAGATACAACAGTCATTGTAGCAAGGAGTTTGGTTTCTCAGTTATACTGTACATGTGCTCTACTGCCAATAGCTACTGACAGCAGGTGATGCCAACTTGCCCAATCTGAAAGACGGGCAAGACCCGTCCGAGTTCATCGTTGCCTACCAGGATGGTATCTTGGCCAGGGCCACCAAGTTGGCTGACATCTCAGGTAGGCTGGAGGCAGCCTTTGAGGATACTCTCCGCCCTGCTTCGGTGACCACGTTTCTTTGCTTAATCCATTGTGGTGCTATAATTTGTTTGTCATGCTTTTGTGGTTTGAGTCAACATAAGGTTGCTGGACAAGATGAACAAGTGCATGGTGGAACTTGATGGTGTTCATGAGCAACTCACAACGATCTACGCAGATGGCTCTGTCGAGGGCTACAGTCTCAAGCATCTTGGAGGGCGAAACATGAATCAGTTCGGAGTGCTGTGGCCATACACATTATGATACTCTAGATGTGTTGCTTGTTCAAAGGCACAAGACCGATATGAAGGAGCTCTTCAAGAAGGGCAAGAAGGGGAACCAAGCTTGCAATATGGTTTGTCTTTAACACGAGAGTGAGAGAGGGGGAGAAAAAGAGAAAGAGAGAGAGAGAGAGAGAGAGAGAGAGAGAGAGAGAGAGAGAGAGAGAGAGAGAGACTTTGAGATGAGATGAGAGAGATGGAGAGAAATGGAGAGAGATGGAGGGAGACATAGGGATAGAGTATGGTCGGGAGAGTGAGAGAGACCGAGGACGATCGAGGCATCAACCCTGGAAGCCAAGTTCAAAGCTGTTCCAATGCCGAAGCGGGCGGCCGGACCGAAGAGCAAGCCCAAGGCTAAATCCGCACCGGCCGCACCGGTACCAGATGCAGCCGTGACGCCATCGGCGAAGCCGAAGTGCGCCGACAAAGGGAAGGCAGAGCCTGGCACAAGGAAGACCGGAAAGAGTCCTCCTTCCTAGTTTCAGTTCAGTGTTGCTTCTGCATATACGGCTTTAGATGGCACGGGATTATACAGGCGCCTGCTACGTCTGGAGAAGGTGGCTGCAACAGCAAATAATTAAGCAATGTAGTGATACCCAGGGCATTATACAAGGCTTTGGGTTTTTCAGTGGTACTTCCAGATGCTGCGATGCTGCCTCCTCGAGGCAGGAACCTGTATGTAGGGAACCTGGGCCTGTGGCCGTTTCACAAGAGGCTTCTTTTACTGTGGTTCGCCACAGATGTCACAAGCTGCTACAACAAGTGTTCGAAGCAGACAATCCTTGGGATGCCGAAGCGAGAGCTTGCGAGCTTGCAAACGCCAAAAAGATGTCTCGGAGATGATGTTATAACCCTGCCAACAAGCTGTTTAAACCTCCATCGCCAAAGTCGTTCACCAAATTCCCAAATGTTCGTGCTGCCCATCGCAGGTCCTGGTCCAGCGGCGACGAAGTTGGTGGAATGCCTGGGCAATGGGGCGACGTGGTGCTATAGATCTTAAACGTTCATTTTGGCTGCTTCGGTCGATCGATGTTTTGGGATTCCCAAACATAAGCTGAAGCCAAACATGAGTGTAGCTTCTCCGGCCACTTGACAATCAAGTTCCCAACTCATCCCCGTATCTCTATCGCTATCCCTATCCCTGCTTATAACACACACACACACACACACTCTCTCTCTCTCTCTCTCTCTCTCTCTCTCTCTCTCTCTCTCTCTCTCTCTCTCTCTCTCTCGTTCTATTTCTGTCACTACATGTGTGCACATAGCATATGCAAAGACACCTGCACGCAACTTAAGAAAGACATGCACAGTTAGGAAGGACACACACACACACACGCACACGCAGTCCTGGTGCCACGTGTCTACACATGTGTGCATGTGTACGTGTGCATGTGTATGTATGTGTATGTCGTATGTATGCTTTTAGGTCAATATGTGTGTATAGGCCTGTATGTTATGTGTTTCGGTATGTATTAGGTAGGTAGGTATGTATGTAACATGGTGACACTATTCAATCCAAGGACTCAGCGGCCAAAGTAGTGAGGCTGGCCAAAGCGATCCACGAGGAAGCCCCCGATCTTCTTAGGGGCATACGGCTGGTGAAGTCGATTGACGTGACTCATGCTGAGAACCGTTTACACAAACTGATTGCTACGTGGGGTCTGGCTCTTCCTGTGTTCATGTCCTTCCTAAAGCAAGGCCTACGTCATGTTCCTATGTTACATGTTCCTGATTGGTTTTCATGCCTTCTGGAACATCGACCGGAAGTGTTGCTAGCTGGCTACAATGTGGAAGACGAGGATCTACGTCGTCATTTGTCGGCTTTTTGGTCTGCCTACAGGCAAGAGGATCCGTCGCATCCAGTCTTCCAGACTCACGAAGGGCACCTGGATGCCTGCCTGCCATATTTTCTGTTTGGGGACGAAGGGCGAGGCCATCGCAAGTCCCCAGTGATGATATTTGCTTTTGAAGTGGTCCTCGGACTCCGGACTAAAGCAGTCTACGAAGAGAACATGATGAGGGCTCCCGGGCTCCGTGGTGAAGCTAAAGCTTTGCTGGCTGCCCAACAGCATGCGGCTAAGCTGAGTTCGTTGAAATCGCGATTTCTGCTTGCTGTACTGCCACACCTTTGGTACAAGGGCAAGCAGGTGCACGTGTACCGCAACACGCTCGATGCTTTGTCAGCAAAATGCAAAGACCTTTTTCACTCCGGTGTGCAACACCGTGGTCAGAAGTTCTTCGGAATCTTGCTGGGGGTCAAAGCTGATTCACCAGCCTTGACGAAAATGGGCATGCTGAACCGAGCATACAACAGGCTGGGCTTCGATAAGGGGATATGCCCTTTTTGCCTCGGTGGCAAAAACAATTTTCCCTGGGAAGACATGTCTTCGGAGGCTGCTTGGCATTCGACTATTGGTAAAGTACGTCCTTGGGATACAAACTGCTCCAATAAGCTTCTCGACATTCCTTTCAGTGTCGACGTGCCCGAGTTCGTCTTCAGAGTCTGGGCTGAATGCTTGGGAACCCAAAGAACTATTTTGGGGTTTCAATATAAGAACAGCAATCTAGGTTCTAACAAGTTTAAAAGCTTCTGAGAAGTTTAAAAGATTCTTGTTCTATATTTATATATGTATTCTACACAACATAAAATGGGGTTCCGGTTTGTGCTCTTGGGTGCCTTTCCAGCCGAAGGGTCGGACCCTTTCCATGTGTGCAAATACGGAATTGGGAGGCATTTCTGTGCTTCGGCCTTGATACTCCTAGCCTCGTGGAACACGTGGGGTGCAGCTGCACTGAACTTTGATGAAAGGATGGTCCGGGCCTTCGAAGACTTTGCATTTTGCTGCTCGGTGGAACTTCGAGGCACTCCACATTGCAAAGCTTTCACCCGAGATGGGCTTCACTTCGACAGGGAAACGAGTTACCCGTGGGCCGGATGGAAAGGCAGCGACACGATGTTGGTGCTACGCTGGTTGGTTCGATTGATCCGCTACGGCATCCTGACAGATGCAGGCTCTCGCTCTGGGAACGGTTTGCTTGCTCAGCCACCTGGTCCAGAGGACCTCTTGGAGTTTCAAAAAGACGTTTTGCAAGCTGTCCTTGATGGGGCATGTGCCATGATCCGCTTTTTTCAGATTCTGAACCACAATGGTGCTTGGTTGGATTCAGATGCTGCTCGTAAATTGGCATTCCATGTGCACATGTTCTGTGCCTCTTACTACTTTTTGGCAGGACGATGCCAAAACAAAGGTCTATGCCGCTTTCACCTGGAACCTTCCCTACACATGTTTCGACATATGGGCCTCCGTGTGGAACACTTGCTTGACAAAGGCTGTCAATGGATTCTATCGCCTGCTTGCTTTCTGGCAGAGTCTAGCGAAGATTTCGTTGGGCGGGTGGCTAGGCTGGCCAGAAGAACCTCTGCACGATCTACGTGCACTCGCACCATTCAAAGGTATCTGATCAAGTGCCACTTCGACTACAAAGACTTGACACGCTAGTGGAAAAGTTCAGCCGAGAGTCGACCACCGGCCCAGTCTCCCAGTAGGCGCAGCTCGCGGCACCCGCATCGGCAAGTTTGTGCTGCTACCACACTTGCTAAGATTTGGAAGTTGGGTTGGAGGGTCTTCCGGGTCTTAGAAGCAGTCATATAAAGCTGTATTTTCCATCGATGCTGGGATTGCAATGCACACGTTGGGCTGGAGGGTATTGGGAGACTTTATAAGCAGTCCTGAATCTTTATGTTCAGTCGATGTTGAGATTGCAATGCATACTCGGATTCTGTCATGAAGTCGAAGGCTGATTCGATCATCTGATGGCTGATTCTGTTTTCAACATGATAGGAACAGCCCGAGGGCTAAATCGGGTTCAGGTTTCAGCCTGGGCTGAAAAAAGAGGCACACGCAGAGGTCCAGGTAAACCCTAAACCCTAAAGTTTAGGGTTTTGGGATTGACTTCGAACTCCCTGTGGCCTCGGACCGCTTGCTACGGTTGATGATATGAATCCTGCAGTACCCCTAATAAGGAATATACCATAATTCCCATAGTAAGGAATATACCATAATTCCCATAGTTTAGGGCCCTTAAGGTAATACAGGATTTATAGTATCAGCCGTAGGACTCAGAGTTGGCAGCGGTCCCAATCCGTATACCCTGAACCCGGAGCCTCTAAGCCTGGACTCTAAACCCTAAACCCCAAACCCTAAACTTTAAACCCTAAACCCCTAAACCCTGAACTCTAAACCCCTAAACCCTGAACTCTAAACCCGAAACCCTAAACCCCGAAACCCCTAAATCCCTAAACCCTGAACCCTAAACCCGAAACCCTAAACCCCAACCCAAAACCCCAGAACTTAAAATCGAAAGCTGCGAGCTGAACCTGAAAAGACGCCCCCAAACTTCAGCCTGGGAGCCTGGGCACTCGACCAAAGACCTGGGCTGCCCAAAGTGCTCACGCCAGCCAGAGTTCTAGGGTTTAGAGTTCTGGAGTTTGGGGTCTATAGGGGATAGAGTTCTAGGGTTTAGGGTTTATAGGGGATAAAGTTCTAGGGTTTAGGGTTTATAGGGGGTACAGTTTTAGGATTTTGGGGCTGACATACCAATCCATTGCTCTACGTTTGGACGTACAGTATATGGGCAATGAGGGTACTGCTGCCGCCGCCGGCCTCACCACCACCACCGCCGCCACCACCGCCACCTCCACCACCACCGCCGCCACGGTAATAACAAAGATTCACTATACCACGAGTCACTAATGGTAGTACGCTATGAATGATGCTCCCTCTACGGGATCTACGTATACATGTGTGCATCACCAGCGTCCTCAGTAGTTGTCACATCACAAGAACATAGCCATCATCAGGCTCATCGTCACCATCGTCACCATCATCATCATCATCATCATCATTATCTCATAGGGGACCCTTTTGGGGGGTAAAAGGGAGGGGGGTAGGGGACTATACTTCCCTCTTGAACAGGCCTTATTCGGGCCTTATTATTGGGCATTAAGGCCCCCTTCCCCCGTCCCCCTACCCCCCTAAGGGTCCGTATGACTATCATCATCATAATCATGATCAGAATCATCTTCGCCATCTTCGTCATCACTCTCATCCACATTACCGTCAGCACGTTAACCGCAAGTGACAAGCATCATCGCCAGCATCACCTTTGCCATTCAAATCACTGTCCGTGTCTTTCCTCGGTTGCCACCATCGTCGTGCTGACTTCTTTGTTTGCTAGCCGCTAGCCAACATAGCAACCATGCTCATTACAGCAGAAGCCACTTCGTCAGCAATGCCCTCTCACCAAAACCATCATCATCACCATCATCACCATCATCACCATCACCACCATCATCACCATCACCATCATCATCAACATCATGACCATCACCATCATCATCACCATCATCGTCATCATCGTCATCATCATTACCGTCGTCACCACAACAACCACAACATTACCACCACCACCACCACCACCACCACCACCACCACCACCACCACCACCACCACCACCATCAGCATCATCAGGATGTTCATTCTCCTCACCATATGCATCTTCACCTGTTTCTGGCCATTCTTGACCAGCAGGTTCTTCTTTCTCTTCACCGTTATCGCCTTCAGCACCTCGAGTATTGCAGCTGAGTCTGCGGCGAAAGTCTGCGCCTGCATATCGAGAAAAAGCCATGCCTGGCGCCATCGGGCGGAGGAGCATAGTCTCGGGCATTTGGTTAGGGTTTAGGGGTTTAGGGGTTAGGGTTTAGGGTCAAGGGGTTTAGAGTTATAGGGGTTAGGGTTTAGGGTATGGGGTTTAGGGTTTAGGGGTTAGGGTCTAGGATTTAGGGGCTAGGAGTTGGGGTTTAGGGTTCAGGGTTTTATGGGGCATGCCACACTCTGAAGAAGTATCTAGGCCTTCAGTACGGTATGCATGAAGAAGCTCTTCTGTACATGTAAATACGGCGGCCTTCATGATTAGAACAGGGTTTCGGGGTAGCTTAGACTAGAATCACCGGTGGTTTATGCGGGGATATTCTGGCTAATTCTTCTGACTTCGATCCTACTCTGTTATGGGTTTGGAACGCACGCCTGCGCAGAAGTCTCTGAAGTGCAGCCTCCTGTAGAAATGGCTGTGACATCAAACCCGAACCTAATTGAGCGAAAAGGCTATCATTGAAATATCAGCGTGTCCTACTTGGAGGATCATGGCACGTAGTAAGTATGGTCATAAGTCCCTTAATGGGGGTTATAAGTAACTATAAGTATAGTTACACCAATAATTACCCAAGTTACTCAGTCCCATGATCCTCTAAGTAAACCCTAAACCCAAGAACTCCGGTGAATCATCGCTCCTGGATCGCGGCCAGGCCCAAAGCATAGGACTACGCTAGCTTCTCTGGGGAAGCCATGTAACACTTAGGCTCTAAGGACTAATCTAGGGTTCCTTGAAAGGGATCTTTAAGGGGTCCTTTTAAAGGGATCTATAGAGCTTAGGGCTCTAAGGACTCATAAGTTACGGCCTTTGGGCCCAAAGACCATACTATATCAGGCTCTTGGGCTGTTTTGAGCCTTAGGGTAAGTGCAGGGCTTAGGGTGAACAGCTGAGAGCATGGCTATCCGGAGTCATGGATGAAAGCATCGAAATGCAAGCTAGGTATGCACATTTATGTAAGTATACATGTGTATACGTTAGATATCTGTATTTAAATATTTATGTACAGATATATACACATACATACATATGTGTACTAAGAATATCCTCATGATGCGATTTTAGCAAGAAGGTTTCAGGTGAACTGCCGCCATCAACCCAGCATATTCAATCAATACCCTCTGTATTCACAGTTTAGGGTTTAGCATCGGCTGCGTGCTGAAATGATGCTACGTAAGCGTAGTCAGCTGGGGGCTTCCTTGTTCGCTGGGGGCTTCCAGTCTAGTTCGTCTTGTTTGCCTCCCTCCGAATATAATAAGACATAAGCTAAGATAAGAATCCAATATCGCTTGAACCCTAAACCCTAAACCTTAATTAAACCCTAAACCCTACTGCAACAAATGCCCTGTTTCCTACCCCGGCTTTGCAGGGTGTTCTTGAGCCTGATGGGCGCCGAGGCGCTGGCAGGTGCATGCGAAGAGTCAGACTTGCCCGGATTACTTACGGTAAATGTTACACCCCAAACCACTGACGCACCATATTTCGTGGCGACACAGGCATCCAGTCGAGTGTGAGGAAGGATCGGTCTAAACCTGAATATGAACCCTAACCCTAAACCCTAAACCACCTGAACATCGAACCCATCCACCCCGCATCACCCTGAAAGGGAGGGGGCTGACATCGAAGAGCTTCCAGTTGCCCTCTCGCAGTTGCCTGCTCAGGAGGTCTGTAGGGTTTTTGGGAGTTACGGTTGAGGGTTTAGGGTTGGAGGTTTAGGGTGGACGAGGGCACTTTTGTGGAATCTTTGCGGCACAGGGTCGGTGTGTAGCTCCAGACGCTGCAGAAAAAAACTGGATCTAGAGGAAATAACCCATAGCCGCAGCACTGAGCACAAGACCAACCTCCGCCCCAAACCCTAAACCCCCCAAGCCCTAATGAACCCAAAACACCATCAAGACAGGGCCGGTGTAACCGCTGCATGGTTCTGGCCATTGCAAGCTGTGGCACACGAACATGGCATACCCTATAGGAAACTCCAGAAAGTTGGAATATGGTTTCATGGTAGGATACCCTACAATTTACCATAAAGGGTTTAGGATAATCATATTCCAACTTTCTGGCTTTTACTGTAAAGCCCTAAGCCCAAAGCCCTGTATCCTAAACCGAAACCCTGAGCCCCTAACCGAGGCTGGCATTCATCCAGAGCCCTCGACTATAGGGGCCTTTAAATGATTACCAATATTAATTTGAGGGTTCCTTATTATGGTTTTAGTATAGTGGGCCCCGAAACCCCTTACCCCAATCCCAGTAAGGCCCCTAGGTTATGTCTTAAGATGAAGAAAAGCGGATTCTTTCCATGGTCCGATCATCGAGCAGTGGCGTTCCGAGTTTAGAGTTAAGGGCCCTAAACTCTAGCCGCTGTAGCCTTTATAACTAGACCCTCAACCCTAAACGCTCAGCCTAACTTTGGACTGTTGGGGTTTTGGGTGGTTTTAGGGTTCCACCGTCACGAAACAAGTCTCTTCTTGCTCGGTAAGCAGCCTTCTGTGACAACGAAGAGGGCAATGATGATTAGCATCATGAGGATGGTGAGAACAGTGAAAAGAAAACTGGCTACAATAACATTATGACAATGTCGCTGGGAAAAACACCGTGTTGCCACTTCGCATCAGCCTCATCTAGATCTAGAACCACGACTATCAGTCGCTGTCATAGCCATAGTTGTCGCGATGCTACTGGTGGTGATGTTCGTGCTGGTGGTGGTAGTGATGGTGGTGGTCATGATGGTAGTGGTGGTGGTGGTCGTGGTGATGGTCGCAGTAGTGTTCGTGATAGTGGTAGTGATGGTGGC